GCTGGTGTGCTGTACCGCATGAATGGGACGTACGACCTCATCAGAGTACTATTATCCGAGGCTCATAATTCTCAACCTACATATGTACATATGTATGTACAACCAGAGACTCTATCATCATCCACCTGCAGTAGAGTCCCATCACAGGGTCCCTCGTATCCACTCAAACGGCTCCACAAAACTATCTCCATCATGTGGCGCAGCAGCCTTGTTAAATATTTAGAATACCACTGGAGAAGCGGGTCAGGATAATCCCCCAATGATGACTCCCCCCACTGGACGACAGGTGCCGGCCAATGATAGTTTTATAGTTTTTTTTTTCAGTTTGCTTTTTATTTCTTATTTTTGTTGCTCTATTTTCCTCTGCGCTTTATAGAGCCATACACAATTCACTTAACTCTTTAAAATGGGGGGCCATAAAATACTAGAAAATAAACGAAGCAAAAAAGTACAAAAAAAAAGGAAACTTGTATTCTTTAAAGCTAGAAAAAAAAAACAATGAAATGGAAAAGCAATTTTCCATTATTATTTTCCGTTTTATTTCCCTTAAATACATATACATACGCAACGCTTGTCTTTTATAGCATATTTTTAATTTTTTGTTAATCCTTTTAATGTGTGTTTCCACATTTGTGGAAATATTTCTAATTGTTTTCTATAATTCTTTGATATTTATAAATATTTTTTCTTTGGTTTTTATTGGTTTTAATTTGTTATTTAAATTATTTATGGACTTTTTTGGTTTGGTTGGCTGCACATTTTATCAAAATATATATTTCTGTGTGCACAAAAGTTTTACAATCAATTTGCTGCCTAAATTAATATAATTATTGTTTTATTTTCTTGCATTTCCATATTCGTTCTCTATGCAAGCAATTTTCCAGTCTCATTTACTTAGTTTTTTCTTTCCATTTGCTTATATTATGGGGGGGACACATTCTTTGTTTTAGATAGAGTTACACGCAAATAACCGAACCCACAAATCGGTTCAAGGGCCTACTACATACCATCTGGAAAAGTCATTAACTAAATTGAAAAGCATATGAAAAGCTGGCCCCTCGGCGACGGAGTAGGGAGATTCTACCTGGTTGGAACAACACAATGGGCACCAACCCCACCCAAAGACGTAGGGTAAACCCAGTAGGAGAGTTCGTTGAACCAAAACCAAAAAGGAAGAAAAGAGCTGAAAAAATGTCATTGCATGGCAGGCCGGAGACAATGCTAAGAGTTAGAGGAAGAGAATCCAGAGTTAGGGGAATGGAATCAAAAGCTAGGGAAAGGGAATACCAAAACTCCGAGGAATAGAATGGGGCACAACCCCCACCCAAATACCACCCATTGCTAATGACAACCAAGAAATCAGTGGGCGGATACGCTGCCAGTGGGTGTGTACAAGTAAAACCTGTCTGCACCGACTAGACATCGCACCCAATTTCAGCCAAATCAATCATAATTCGTTTGCATAGAAGAGTGAGATGGAAGGAGTGGGTCTCTCGGATTTTGTTCATACAACACACCCACTCTAAAAGGAAACCTGAGAAATTAGTCAAACATTTGGAATGCACTGGAAAAAAAGGTTTTTATTTCGAGTGTAACGAATACAAAGAAAAAAAAGAAACTTTTAACAGTTTCCCATACCGGGAATTGAACCCGGGCCTCCCGGGTGAGAGCCGGGTATCCTAACCACTAGACAATATGTGACTTGAATTCTCTTGGGTTAAATTCAATTTTCACTTCCATGAAGACCGTTTTCTTGTTTCAAGATTTTGTTTTGTTAAATGCATCCAGAAAAATGTATCCGAAAATGTGCCAAAACCAATAAAAAAATATATACAAATTCAAAACTTTAAACCCGTTTTTTTAGGAATGCCAATATTTCGCTTAATTCCATGTTTCTATTGTCGACAAATGCTTCCAAAAACCAATTCTAGTGTCTTCTGAAACTTTACTAACAGCCTGCAAAATATTCTAGATTATTTTCCAGCTCTTAGGATGTTTCCATTCATTTTAAAGTAAGTACCAAGAATGCTTTCCATTTCTGAAATTTTCTCGGTAGCCAGAATAATGCTGGTACGAAAGCCAATTTATGCTTTGACTGTAGTCTATAATTGCTATTAGCCTTTGAAGACTCTTAAAATTTTTGAACCCCTCAGAAATTGTGGCTTTAATGATATTTCTGAGTAAAATGTGCTAAATGGCTATCAAATTGTATTTGTATTTTCTACAAATAAAGTATACGCATTTGACTCGTACCTAAAACAAAAGCTTTTGCAGTGAAACGTTTAAAGCGGTGGCACACGTGCAGCAACACCATAATAAATGTAGAAAAAGCATAAATATTTCAAAATTATCTTTAAAATGCTGAACTTTTTAGTACAAATGTAAAAGAAGTTTCATATAGTCATTCTTTATTGAAAAGTTGTGGAAATGCAGTTTCAATTCCAAAACTAAAAAAGGTTGAAAAAATAGCAATACTTTTTTAATCACGGAACCTCCAAAATATCTGAGCAATATACTATTTTTCGACTGGTGTAGCTTAACATTTTTATTGTCTGTGTAATTTTCGAATTTGCATGTCAAAGGCATATTGCAGCAATGAGAGAAAATGTTTTTTAATTGATGCACAGAAATAACAACTACTACCAATGGAAAAAAACCAACAAACCCCGACAACAAGTGGTCATGACAACATCACCAAATGCATTTTTGTGTTGCCATAGTGAAAGTCAGCCAAGTGGGAGAACCAACGAACGAACGAACGAACTGAACAAACGCCCCCCAAAAGGGAAAGAACCCAACCCAAATGGAGATCCCTGGAGCTTGTGTCTCCATAAACAATCTCTAGGCGGGCGGAAGGAATCGAAATGAAAACTCGAGGGCGTTGCCTGGATGCCAGGACCCTTGTTCTGGTTCTGGTCGTGTGCAGGGGCGTTGCATGTACATGACACGAACATGCAATTAAAGTGGAATATTTTTATAACCAACTACCACATACATATACAAGAAATATATCCCTTATATATATGTATATATGGACATGAATATATTTTACTTTAATTTTTCTGAAATTACTCTACTGACAACTGAAAGTGAAGGCAAAATAAAAACCACACAGGATGTAACTCCTTCAGCCTCCGTAGAACATACGCATGGACAGCTCTCCCATGGCTATGGGTCCCCTTAAGTGTGGCTGGATGACCACAGAGCAGACAGCTGTCGGTTGGACCGGACATATGGCTAGAGGCAAAAAGAGCAGCGCTCTACAGAAATGCAGAAACAAAAGAAAATTAGAGCAAAAAGCAACGAAAGGAAGAAAAAGTAAAGAAACGAAAAGAACACAGGTAAGAGATACATTTGTAGATGGCTTTCTTCGAAGCGAAGTTCAGTGAAGTGCTTATTTTAAATATGTTTAAATAAAATAATATACATAGGTAAGTTCTGGGCAAAAATATTTATTGAAGTGGCAGAGAAAATTATTGTAAGAATTGGAAAATATCTAATAAAAATACCAACGAATATCGTATCAAGGGATATATGTATTTAAATGTTTTACTAGTAGTATAGAGATTTTAGCAGCCTCTAGCGTTTATTAGAACAGTCATCCAAACCCAAACAACAACAAATGAGAATACAAAGTAAAGGATATTCACCATAGCCTCAACCATTTACTCTACACTATACACACACGCATAAAAGGACACACACTCTACTCAGTATCGGATGTACACAGGTCGGATACATAATGAACCATGGAAGAATAAACAAGTTGTGTATCTGTTAGTATCTGTATGTGTGTGTCTCCTGGTGGCAGGTGCAGTTCCAAATGTTAATGCCAAGTGCCATCAAATTAAACATTTTCCCTCCACACCAAACACAAAGCACGCTTCATACACACCCATGGAAAATGTAGCATACATCAGAGGGAGAGGGAGGAAACAGCTCCCTCAAAAGTATGCAGCATGTTTTTTTCGTGCTACGGAAATGAGCAACAGCAAAAAGACGGAAAAGGGGGGAAATGTGGGAAAATGCAAAGGAAAATCCAAAGAATGAAAATGTATGTTGCTCCAGCTGTCAGTGCAGTGAAGTCTGCATTGAAAATCCATTTATAGTTGCATTATGTTATCTTCAGTCATTTACCAAGCGTCTGCTTTACTGTCTTTCTGTCTGTCTGTCTGTCTCTCTGCATGTCTGAATACCGCTGCAAAAGTGCATGTCAAACGAAGGCTCAATGACATTGTCTTTCAAGCTCTTTCTCGTTAGCTCTTTGCCTGTCCAAGAATAGATTTTGTATATGTCAACCATATTTGTACCACTTGATTTTATGTGGAGCTTTCAGATGATTGCTGAGGGGTCAACAAGTACAATAATTAATAATTAATGCATTACTTAAGAAGGGGTTTAATTATTTAACCAGAAGTGTCAGTCTAACCGATATTCAAAAAAGAGTGTTGGAAACAATTCGTAAGGGGAAATACATGAATTATTAAACGTAGTCTAGTCAAGGATTAAGGTTTGGAGAAAGTTGTAAGTTTTGTCAGAAAACTTTTGAGTAAAGCACTTTGCAATGACTGTACTAAAAATTGGCAGAAATTGACGTTAGAGTATAGGGCTATAATTCAGGCACATGAAGCTCGACCAAAACGTTACGATTATTTATTTAATATGTATGTCAGGACACGCTATTGCTCCGAGAAACAAAATACATTTTATATGTTGTACGACTCCATTAGTAAAAAAAAGTATAGTGTATAACTGATTTTAATTCTTTGATTAAACTAAGGACAGATACATAACTAAGCTAGATACAAGTATTTCGTGGAAGATGCAGAAAGAAATTTAATCTTTAGAAAATAATAATGAATCAAACATTTGAATTTGTAACCATTGAATTTTACAACATTTTCTACCAAAACTATAGAATTTTGCAATAAATGAAATACTTTTAGTGGAAAAAACTACCAAATAAAAATTCTCAAATAGTCTTTTATATTCAAAGATTTTGAGTAACATTTTTATGTGAGTTAGGAACAAAAGTTAACCAAAAATAGAATCGCATTTTATTTCCTCTCTATTTTTTTAAGTTAAAAAGTTTTTGGTAAACTTTTGCCAAATCACAAAAGAAGTTTTCTTTCGAACAAAAGTTTACAGCAGATATGCTTTGATGTACTTTAATATACTTTAAAATTTCAATTTAATTTATTGAAATGATTTTTTTAGGGATTAAAACGTTAAAGACAAATGATTAATGAAAGAAGGAACATACATGGGTCAAAGAGGTAAAAGTCCCTCAATTAATCAAAAACAATTTACAATTCAAAAGCTGAATGATGAAGGGCAAGAAAATTGATTTAGAATGTCTGTTTAACAGACGGAAAGAAACAGAAAGAAAAAAAAAACTAATCACACTCTGAGTGAAGCAACTGCCACACCTTGGACATCGAACACCTCCTCTACAGCTATTTCCTGCACTCAATTCTCGCGCTAACAATCCATTCATCCATCCGTCTCACATCACACCATGCCCCACCATCAGGCCACACCATTACTAGTGCCACATCCCACATAACACCCCCACCAGTGTGTGTTAGCCAGTTAAAAATGGACTTTCCATTTGGCTTTCTGCCTCGACTGTCAGTTTCAATAATGGAAATGGGAGGATCACAAGGAGTCCTCCTGATGTGCGTCCTCGTTATGGCAAGCACTAGTCAAAGCAAACCCTGATATCCATCCAACCATTCGTTGAACTTTTCCACTGAATGACAGCTGTAGGAACAGGAACAGGAACAGAAATAGGAGCTCAGTCCCCTATTCAATCTCACATTTGACGTATTTCCTAGCTGGTATAGTAGGTACTTCTATCGGTTTTTCGACTTGTATTTCATTAATTATTCAGTTTTGTCAGCATATTTAATGGGTCTCTCGCTCTCTCTGTCTGTCTGTGAGTCAGTCATCAAAATCAAGTTTAGAGCCATAACAATTACCATTGGCGGGGGCACAAGGGGGCAAGGGGGTTGCCCCTTCTAGCTCATACTCGTATCTGTCGTATCTCTCGTGTCTATTGTCGAGTTTTGTCACTGCATTTGAATTTAAATCGAATGAAAACATTTGCGTAACAATTTGGCAACATGCAGCAGCATCAGCAGTCTGCTTCCCTTGGGGCGAGGCACAGCGCCAATGGTGGAATGGTTCTGTCTCTCTTGTACAGATGATACCAGGATATACGAGTGGATATACAGATACTCCTGCTCACGTACTCGTACAATACGTAATCACCCCAACGCCTTTGCTTATACATTTTGTGGAAAATGAAAATCAATATCTGTGTGGAGCTGCTCCCCCTTTGTGACCTGTCCTCCAACTGCTTCACTCACACATAACACACACACACAGCAGATGACGCGAACCCTTGGCTGCATTTGCAGCACATGCTGTTGCATATTTTATAAATTCAACTGCAAAGTCATTCAATGAAGACAAAGGATAAGCAGATATTGTTAGGCATATATGACGAGCAAAACTGTTACACTAATTCAGTATAAAAACACCCCCAAACCATTATTGAACTGCCACCGTGCTTGACGGTTTGCCGCACAGTACTTGGGGACTGTATAGTAGCATCTCTAGTCCAATACCAGGAGTGTCTGACTTAAAACGATTAATTTTTTGTCGTCAAACCAACTTAAAGTCACCGTCAAGCACAATGGCGGTTCAAAAAAAAATAGTTAAATGATTCACCAACAAAACAAGACTAAGATCTTAAGCATAAAACAGAAGACAAGATACAGACCGTGTAGGTGAGAGTACTGACGAGCAGTGTATGAAGTAGGTAGGTGCTATAGAGTGGGGATAATGCAGTTTCTATCTAACGATGTCGCAAAAATGGGAGGGTTTAAATGGAATTCCAATAGGAAAAATACAGAAACAGAAAACGGAAACGGAAAATATCCAAAAGAAATGCGATTATCAGGCCACAGCACCTGGTACCCCATTTACAACTTATAATTTCAAAGACGAGAAGATTCCACACTGAACGGAAGTTCATAATGATTCTTAACAAAAATCGAAGATAAAAAAGTTAATCATTGTAGAATATCATAACAGCTAAGAACTAATAGAATAACCATCCTACGATTAAAATGAACTAACCATTTTCAACAGCTACACAGCTAAATGGTAAATTCCATTCAAGTTTAGATCACGTTTCCGTAGTTTCTTTGAGAGAGAAATTCAAACAAACTAATATAATTTTCAATTGGCAATCGAGGGGCCAGGCCAGAATTTCTTATACATCAAATATGCATTCAATTTAAACTCAAACAAAGAGGAACCAAAGCACCCCAACAGGCCATAGGCCGTGCAAAAAAGGCAATTACATTTCGGTTCATGAAACCACATCGCATCCAATGGCAATTTCCTGCTACTCCGCCGATAGGGGGGCCCATAATTGATTTCAATTGGTTATGACTTTGGATAATTATTTGGAGATTAATTGATTTCCTGGATCCACCAAGAACCAAGGGGACGACGACTATGTTTATGACTATGACTACAATCTAAAGGACCAAACAGAAACCATGCGAGGAACTGTTTAACACCACAGCACACTCCTTTATACGAGGTGTGCTCCTCTCATTTCATTTAAGTGCTGCTAGAGTTGGAGCTGATGCTTTGGAGCGAACTATTGGACGATGTCTTCCTTAGGGTCTCGCCTGCCAGACTGCATAGATTCTGTACGAGCACCGAGGACGAGGACATCGATGAACGGTTGGCGAGTGGGGACGAACATTTGGCCGGATTGGAGTTAGAGCTGAGTGTTAGATTATTGTGTGGGTGATGCCGCAGCGGTTGCGGCGATGTCGGATTGCTGAGGCCGGATTCATGGATGGGCGACAGTGTGGGCGATCGAGTGCGCAGGAAATGCTTCCTCCTTTGCCTTCGATAGACATTCCCCAGGCTATAGGGCAACTGTCGACTGTTGGGTGTCAAGTGTTGCTGCTGCTGCTGCTGCGGCGAATGATGATGATTACTGCTGACAAACCCCAGAGATTCGGCCAGCTCTGCCAACTCCTGACTGGCCTGCGGCATCTTGCGTCGCGTGGGTGGCGGCAGTGCCGGTGGCAGGGTGAGTGTATAGGTTGTCACACTATCATCTCGGATCACGGATGTCGGCAACAGCATTAGCTCCTTCTTGGAGCCACTGGAGGGACTGGTGCTGGTGCTCACCGATTCGCTGCTGCTCTCTGCTGAGCTCCGACTTGGCGAACTTCCGGGTAGCGTTGTTGTCGTGGAGGCTGCGTAGCCACGTCCTGCCGCCTGCAGTTGCAATGGACGTATCTGATTCTGTTTGATAGTGCCCCCCCCGCCATGATGCTGATGATGCTCCTTGGCTGCCACGCCATGGGCCCCACCATGATGGCGACACCGGGGCCTTCGATAGCGTCCCAGAAGGCGCAGCATGTGCCGCAATCGAGAGCTGCGCGGCGGCGTCGTTGTCGTTGTCTTCATGGGCAGTTCCACCTCCGGATGATCCATGCCCCCGTTCAGAGTTCGTATAAATTGTATGGGCAGCTCCTGGGCATTCAGCTTGGCCGCCGCTTCTGCATTCTCGCGCTCTCTGAAGGTCAGAGCCGCCAGGAGATCATTGGGTACATCGGGACTGTCGGGGACACTGGCACAGCAGTTCCATTTCCTGCGCCAACGCTGATGCTTGGAGATGTTCCCTGCCGCCCCAGTTGCCGATGCGGAGGAAACACCCGCTTGACTGGACAGAGTCCGGGTGCTACTGCTTCCCCCAGCACTGCTGGGAGCGCCTGCTGCAGCTCCCTCGCGTCGCAGGCGAAAGGTGCAGAGTGTGCACTGTTCCGTGTACTGCAGATACGTGGCTGGACGCTGGGGTCGTGGCTCACCAGAGATCAGTGTCCCCTTGGCGACACTCACGCGACGCTGCAGGGAGCTGGCGGCAAAGCTCGAGCAGCAATGGAAGCTGCTCAGAGAGTCCTGCAGAGGAGGAGGATGGTGACTGGCACTGGTGCGCTCCTCCAGCAGGGAGCACAGATAGATGGCCTGCCGCGACTGATGGAACTCCCTGGAGCTGGCACAGCAATGCATCCGCATCGATTGCTCCGTTTGGCCCGTGCAGAGTGCCGCCTCCTGTTGCTGGTGCTGGTTGGGATGTGGCGCCTTGGAGAAACAGTAGAGCTGCTGACCACCTGGCATCGATTTGGACGGATTGTGGGGCTCTGGGAGGGTGGCTGAAAAGTGAACTGTTCCATTTTTTCCCACTTCCACGGCTGTACCGTGCTCCAGCAGCTGTTTGGCTTTGGCCTCCTGCGCCTGACGATGATTCCTGATGTACTCGTAGGTCGTGAGTCCCAAAAACGAGATGTATATGTGGAAAAAGCACAGATGGAGAAGTAATCCTGCACTGACGGCTGCCAAGAGTCCCAGGACTCCCAGGAGCAGCAGGAATATAGTTTCATTTACGCCTATTCCCCCCACTACGGGTGTGATGGTCTGATTCGTGGTCAAATTAATGGCTGGCTGAGATGTGGCTGAAGCCTCAATCAAAGCCGTAAAATTCTCCAAGAGTGTGGGCCACGTTGAAATGCTGGTAATGTTTTCCATTTGCTCATCCATCTGTTGGGGCTCATCCTCCTCGGGGGGCTGCTCCAACAGCATCATGGTGCCATTTCCAAGACTTAGAGTGAGATTTATGTAGTCCCCGGGCTCCATTTGGTGTCCGGCATCCGTATCGCTGATGGAACGACACCAGTAGAAGCTCAGCCACTCCGGTTGCATGTAGTAGAAGGCGATTTGGGCAATCACCGCGGCCACAATCACCAGGGTGGCCACAACCGCACTGACGACGCACATCAGGAAGGCCACATAGTTCCTCGATCCGATGCAATGATTCAACCACTTGCAGTGATGGTCGAACTTTCCCACACACTTGTTGCACACCGAACAGTGCTTGGTGCGGCTCGAGGAGGTGCGTATGTTGCACAAATGACACCGTCCGTTCTCAATCACGTGTCCGTGCTTGGTGCGATCGAACTCTGGGACAATGCGATCGTTGCGATGCACACGCCGCAGCTCCTTGTCTGCCGGATCCGTCAGCAGGGCCGTCAAATGTGAGGCAATGTGCACGAGATACAGTCCAGTGATGAGGCCATATAGCGGGCCCTGTAGCGGCGCATGAAATGCGGGGATCAACACCCAATAGCTGGCCAAACCGAAGAGCAGCAGGACCAACCATCCAAATAGTTGCAACGGATGCAATGGCAGCTGCAGTCCATGGAGGCGTCTACCGCGTCGATGCTGCACATCCGCAATGTTGTTCTGGTAGCTAACCAACTGGGACAATCGACAAAGGGAGTATCCTTTATTACTCGTATGGGTTTGGGCACTATTGGCTTTTGTCGGCTGTTGGTGGTGCACCTCCACGGATGGTGCCAGAACTATGGATGTATCTCTGGCAGATGATTGCTTCAGTGCTTCCCCGTTGCTGGCTTCCGTGAGGCTGGCAGTGCTGATGGTTATTATGTGATCCTCCGTCCTAACACCGTTTGCTCCACCGATTGAACCTCCTAGCGTGGGTCCAATGTTTCCCTTCGCTTTGGACATTTTGTTGATGGAACCCACGTTGATGATAATGATGAGTATGAAAATGATGAGTGGATGATGAACGGGGTTCGATGACAATGGAACATTACAGTTTGATGCAGTTAGCCACTCCCACAGCGGATGATGCAGACCCAAAAAAGTATTTTTTTTTCTCTGGAGCCTGTTCTTTTTTTGCAGTGTCCGTTAATTTGTGGAATCCGTTATTCAAAATAGTCTTTTGTTATTCGTTTTCTTCAAATGTTCTTTATTTTTTTCATGTTTTGATTTTCGTTGTTTCTATCTCTCCTTTGTTTTATTTTTTCTCCTTCTCTCAGAGTCCGTTGTTCTATTACCCCTTCTCTCAGAGTCCGTTGTTGTTTTTTCCTCTTTCCGAGTGACCGCTGTGGCTATCTTTATTCCACTCAGTGACGTCTGTTTCTCGCTCTCTCTCAGACTGAGTTGTTTCTGCTTTCCCTTTTGTTGTGCTGCTTGTTCAAATTATGCTTCACTTGTTGTTGCTTTCGTCAAACGGTTATGGTTGTTTTTATTAGCCGACTCTCCTGTTTTACTCTCCTTTTTTTGTTTTTTTTTTTGTTGTTGTTATTGGATATTGAGAATTGATGGCGACTTTAACGGTGCATACGTGAGCGTATTTAGCGGGTTTGTGTTGTGCGGAACGGAGGGAGGGGGGGTGGTGGTTACACAGGGAGCAGTGGTTTGTCGCCACCCCCGTTTGTACGGGATTCCTGCTCTATGATTTCTTTCGGCCCTTTTAGCGTTTGCGTTTTTCTATTTGTTTGACTCCCACTCACACACACACAGTCGCGCGCGCACATATAGAAGCACACACACACAGACACACTGTAGCACGCACACACGCAGAAACGGGTGCCGCGCGTCACACAACAAAAGCGTTCTTTCCGTTTATACCGTTAAACGGAACGTCTACAGAGGTGCAAATAAGCCGCAAAAACGAACCGACTTCGGCCATGGACGCGAGACAATTGAGAGCAGAAGCAACGCCAAAGCTTGAGCGAAAGTCTCGCTCTCTCTTCGAATTGAAAGCCTCGTCGCCAGTCAGTTTATTGAAAGCCAAAGCTTTCACAATTGAAAGCGGCTTCTCTTCTTCATCACGGGGGTGGTAGCAGGCAAGGTATATTATTGCAAGGTAAAGCATTACAAAATGAGCGCTCTCCAGATATTTCTTTTGAGCTTTGTTCTTTGCAGGAAAGTCACTAGACTTTAATTTTAAATCTTACGAATCTGTCCCCTAACTAACACAAAATAATAATAAATTTAACAGACAACTTTCATGAGAACACTCTCTAGAAATGTCTAACCTTTTATTAATAGACCCAGGGGTGTTAGTAGCCAACATGGGAGCGTAAGCCAAAGAGAGCATCAGCAAACGCCATCACAGCTGTGTGAAGTTTTGCCGGTAGTCGTTTTCGGCTTAAAATGATACAAGGGAAGAGGTGGGGAATAGTTGGCCCAGCACGCACTGGGTGGGTGGGGCGAGTTGGTGTGGGGGTGGGTGGTTCGGAATGGTGATGCTTTGTGGCTGTTTTGAGGGGATGGTTCGTACAGATATGAGCGTGATCTCTTTAAAGCAGAGATGGACACGCCGTGGCTCTTTCAGCTCCCGCGGCTCTTTCCATTATGCTTTGTGGGAGGCGTCAGCAAGTCGTCCTAGACGGTAGTCGATCGCCTTCAGCTATTCGTGAAACTATACAAAAACAATGCCACTGAAATTTGGCGTCAAGGAGGCGGGAAAAAGGCTTCGAAGCCGCGATCTCGAGATTGCAACAACACATCATGTGTCTTGGGCTACGCACAGGAAAATCACAGCAACAACAAGCGACGGTGGTGGTTTTTTTTTTTGTCTGGCTGCGCAGTGGCTCTTTCCCGTTACATCTCGTGCCCACCGCTGCTTTAAAGTTATGTTTTTTATGTTATTTTAATTGTTGCAGAATAGTATTACTTTTTATCAACTAAAAATTAGTAGCAGTGGGTTAGTACCACCAGCTATGGGATATACTATTGGGCTTCTTCTAAAGGTTTAATTTTCACAAAAGACTATACGGCGTTAAATCTCATTGGCATGACTTTGGCATCAAATCTAATGGCGATTTTCTGACATTTAGGTTTTAAAGTGTCAGCCGTGTATACTCCCTCGATAATCGCGTTGACAGTCACCCTTCTTGGGTGGGCAAGTGTATTTCCTTACCTTGAGGATGGAAGAGCATCTTTCAATCTGAATCTTTGCAATTATTAGCTCGTTAAGCCTCACGCTCTCATCTCTAGCAGCTCTTATCGTTACAGGATGTAACTATTATATAACGGTAAATGGGACACCGACAGGCACACTAGAGATTGGCACGCACCTTTTGGTATTTCTTTTAGATTCTTTTCCCTGTTTTTTTATGTTTTTTGTTTTGTTTTTGGGATGCCACCGCAGCATCATTTTTTATTTATGGCATCGACAGTTCGCGTGAGAGCTTGCCATGTGGGGGTAAAAGCCAGTAGCCAGTAGCCAGGAGCCAGGGTGTTAGATGAAATGGAAAGCACACTCGAGAGCGTATTTGGAGCACGTGCTTGGTGCAAGTACTACGTTTTCACCACTTGGTGTGATTTTATTTACATGAGCGAAAGAGAAAGCCAATATGTATATGTGGGTGCAAACGAAACAAAAAGAAGACAAAAGTTTAAAGAACTATTCAAGGTATATTCAAGATAAGGTAGGGCAGTTACGCACTTGGATTACTCGAAGCGGCTGTACAAGAATGAAGTTCTCATAAGCGAACAGAACTCATTCGTTACGAATGACCCAAAGATACCATTTCCCACGAATGTGATTCTTTCTTTAAAATTGCGTAAATGTATCCAATATTATAGGAAATAGCGTATGTGAATGTCCTATCCTACCATGTAATTGATAGATATGTTTGGGTGCGTGCAAAAAATAGGCGTATCTTTGCCATTGCCTTACCTTCTATTTAATTTTGCTTGGTTATGGCAATACAGACATGCTGACGCCTGTTTGCCTGACCGATTGGGTAAATATTTATGCCTGGGATGCCAAACAATCTGATGGGATGCTTAGAATGCAGGAAACGAGGTCACCCCCCAGAGAGACACAGAGATGGAAGTGGAAACCGAATCACGGATTTATGTAAGCCGCAGACAGACAGATGGTGTAAGCATTGGCGTCTTTGTGCTCTTTGGAGCGCAACTAATGATTGGTCTGGGATTTTTACGGACATCGTAAAATCGAAATACAAATTACCAAAACAAACCGACAAATTACAATGTGTGTGTGGTGTGTGGGTTCGTGTATCTCTGAAACGTTTTAGTTTGTTGATTTTGCATATGATAAGTAGAGGGAATTAGGGGAAACGCATGATATCCGCCGCCACAGTGCACAGTGGATACAAGCATATAATATTTGCCATATCCTCAGCCATAGTCAATCCGGTTGAGTAGCACACAATTTATGAGCAATATTGAATGGAATTTTGTTTGTGAATAAATTGAATTTTCTATAGTTTCCGGTTCACAGTTATTGCCTCTAGGCAACGATAACCAAACAGGACAAAGACGAATACCGCCCCCGCCCCACACTGCACTGTCGCTCTCTCTCTCTCTGTGTTCACAAAGGTAGCTGTAACAAGAAAAGCTTTGATAAGCAGAGACCCGACCATAACCACTTCCATTGAACAGTAAAATATGAGCAGAAAAGGAACAACAACAACAACAGGGGAGGGGCAAACGTCAAGAAAATAAGGCAAGCTTTGACGGGGTAGAATCTGTGGATACCCTTGAACATCATACTACTTCAATAGCTCTCGATTCTCTGGACACCGGCGCACCGGCTAGAGTGCAATAACGAAAGTCACGTCGTTTGTGGATGTAGATGGATTTTTAATTTCTCTTTTTAGACTGCTTTAAAACTCAAAAGCCTGCCCACCCTTTAAGATCCATTGTTTCTATGAAAGCTGATGGTGTTGTAGTCCTCCGATTAGTATACATATGTATAATTTGGCATTATAAAATATATGAAATATAAATAATCTTCCGTTTTTTTTGCAAAGAATACTCGCAGCTTGTTTATAGACCAAATTATTACTATATCATTTACAAAATTTCGCTGAGACAGTTACAATAAAAACCAGTAAATTAATTTGACAACTTATGATATACTCAGTATAAGGATCAAGCAAACGATAGAGACAGACAAGCATTTTAGTAGGCAATTCGTTTAGTTTTCAAAGTGGATCGGCACTCGGATAATTTTGAAACCCCATTTGAAAATAATTTTCTTTAGCACATACAAAACGAATATAAAATAAATATTAGATAGGGAAGGGGAACGAAACCAAAGCGCGGCATCATGATCGATATACTCTCCATGCCGCGCCGCAACAACGTGTCGGGCAATGCGGCACTCCTCAAGATGATCAGCAATAAGACGGGTCTGCCGATCAACAGTCTGCCGGGATGGGAGCTCATTCCGCTCAACTGTAAGCTGCCGATGCTCAAGTGTCCCGGTAATCAAGTGATATTTTCCAAGAACAAAATTGGACAATCGGTGAGTGATTATCAAGAGATTTATTAGTCTCTAATTAATTAATTTCGCGTTTATTTGATAGTTCAAAAGCGACAAACAGGAGTTTGATACATCGGTGACTGGGGCGGCCATACCTGAATACAATCCCTTGCATGATTCGAATCTGAGGACCTTCTACTCCAACGAACGAAATCTGAAGCGTTTGAGGGAGAACGGCGAGATCACCCAAACGAATGATGTGATATGCAATCTGAAGGACTTTAACCAGCATCGCCAGGAGCTGCACAAGTCTCAGCTGTACTATATTCTGCATGCCTACAAGCGTCGCGAGGCAGAGCAATATGATCGCCTGCTGATAGCCAATGCCGAGGCGATCACCAAGCGCGATCATCTCAATCTGGCGGCCCGTCATCAGTGCTACGAGGAGGTGGTGGCCAGAAAGATGCGCCTGGACATGGAGAAGCACGAACGCATGGTGCACTTGTACAACATTACGCTGGAGAAGATGAAGCGGCTGGAGAACCTGGCCTCCATGCAGAACCTGCTCTTGGAGCATCGCAAGATGCTGACCAATATGCGGGTGCAGGCGCACATCACCCTGTGCCACGATCTGCAGAGGAAGTACCTCATCAGGCAGAAGAAACTGTTCCAATTCAAGAAGGATCGCTTCAACAAGAACATGCGTCTGCTGCAGAAGCAGCGAATGATGAAGAACAACGAGGGACAGATACAGTCTTGGACGAAGCGTCTAGACGAGCGGATTGCCAACCAGCAACGCCTTCACTTCCTGCTCAAGGAAGTTGAGTTGGAGCGTGGGATGTTCATTGAGCGGCACAAGGCGAGATACGACTTGAAATGGAAGCAGATCCAGGATGAGATCAAGGAGCGTACCCGCCAGACGGTGCTGAGCCGCCAGCCAAAGCGACGCAAGCGCAAGAAGAAGCCCAAGCGTGTGCAGCCATCGTTCTGCGAGGAGTACCAGACAACCTTTGATGGCCTGATGGACAGCGAGCTCTGCTATGCCCTCAATGCAGCCATTGCCATGGAGGGCCATTCGCCGCTAACCTTTGCCCCAGACGATCCCATCTACAAGGCGGCCCAGTACATCCTCAACTATATACTGACGGGCTTCACTGAAGATCTCAGCGAGGATGAATGCGCGCTAAAAATATTGATTTCGCGCATTCGCGACTTCCTCTGCGATGCCAAGAAATATGTAAACTATGTAAGTTTTTAGAGGTTTTGCCACAGACTTAGACTTTCCATGATATGAAATCTCATTTTCCTCGCAGAAAGCATCCCAAATCATTAACTTTGCCAGGGATCACAATGCCATGGACGTGGGGCAAGCGGTGGCCAAGCCCTCCAGCATTCCGCAAAAGAACTCCCGTGCCTCGCACGTCTCCTTCAGCGGTGTGGCCAGCACCATTGGCGTGGGCAGCTACGAGATCCATCCGTTTGTAGATGTACGTCCCTGCTCGGAGCGTCGGCCCACGCCGGCTGGATCCCTCGCCTCGCTGGTGGTCAGCCAGATTGGCGAGCAGATGATCCAGGACAAGGTCCGTTTGCCGCACATGAATCGCAACGAGATCGTCTTCATCGAACACTATCTGGTGAAGTTTAAGCGTGAGCTGCTGGTTGGCCTCGACAAGACGGTCTTTGCGGCCATTCAGTGTCACTTTGAGAATCGCATGATGGATGTGAGGGAGGAGCTGCTCGATCTGGACCGCGACTATCTGTTCCAACAAATAGCCCGCGGCATTCTCAGCTATGCGGCCAATCCGCTCAACTATCAGTCGATAATCAAACTGGCCGTTAGCGTGATGTCCAGTGAGGTCATTACGGATCTGCAACAGACCATACTCAAGCCAGGCGTCGATCCCCGCGGCCTCAATCATCCTTGCAGCTGCGGCACAGAGCGGGAGCGGGACCAATTTGCCCTCTGCACGACATAGGAGAGCACCTCAATGGCCATAGGTCTATGTTTTTGGTAAAACGTATCTGTATAAATTGCCTGTGTTTAGTTAATATTGAAAGACTGACTTACTGACTGCATTGCATGAACCGCGTGAAACGACAAAGACCCACATCAGACCCACGAACCCGGGGTATAAAATATTTGTATGTATTGGCCGAATCGATGTGCCTTGTTTAAATTGCTTGTGATATATATATGTGAAGCACTCACCTCAACACGTTATAGCTGCTTGAATCTAATAAATATGTGCACTACACAAAATAAAAACTTAATATAAACATGGCATGCAACAGCTGGTCTGCAGCGTGACCGAAACGATAACGATGAAAAATACCATCCGATCCAACGAGACTTAACCCACTTAACACCCCTCTATTGAAAAAGTTGAGCACTCTTTGTTAAACCGCGGAAAATGTTGCATTTCAGGGTAATCGATTGAAATAATCTGCATGGTAGAGAGGAAGGTTTCCAGACAGGGTGGCAAGGCCGAGGTTGAAGGGATAGTGGTGAGCGGATGGTGGCGCCCCCTAGTCGGGCGATCTTAAAACTATGAGATCCGCGCGCTCTTGAATTCCCTTGTGGAGAGAGGAGAGCCGGTGTCCCGGAGCCAATTCACCCACACACGCTTAAGGGGAGAGAGAGCGGTTACAGGAAGAGTAGGCCATGCCCTTGAACCTGGTTCAAGGGCAATAGAAGAGATCGATGGGGCTTGGCGACCAACGATAGAGGTATGGGAAGCTTAGGCTTAGGCTTAGGAGATCAAAAAAATCGTTGGCGGAAGACGGTACAAAAAAAAATCGGTTACGGATCGGGTCTCAGAGAAATAAAAATAAAAATAATTAGAAACAAGGAGGAAGTAGAGCTGCCTAGCGGGACCGATGCGGATATATTAGAAAAGCTGAAAAAAAAAGGAACAAAAACTGTGCCCAGTTCCGCCGTCCTGTCCACAGCGGCATGGTCCTTCGCCCGGCCTAGAAGTGGACCTCGGAATATCGTCCCCGTCCTCCAGCAAAGATTTCATTAAACCCTATTTAAATACCTACACATAAGTTAGAACCCACTAGGCCGTCGCATATCTGTGTATACACTTATTTATTTATTTACCGTTAATTATATTTATTTATTTGTTCTTATATATGTAATTGTCACTATTTATAATTATTTATTTATTTAATCATAGTTAATTTGATACGCCCATGCCCATAATTTAGGTCACAGAAAGGAAGAGGTTAGGATGGGGATTAGGAGGTCGACCTAAACCAGCTAGGAGTTACAGAATACAAAAAGAATGTGTGAAAAATGTTATTTAAAGTGAAATTATAACGTTTAATATGAATTGCTAGTGTGTTTAGTATGGGGGGGAAAGGGGACCACAGCGGCGAAATGGAGATCGGCCGCTACACTTGAGGAAAAGAGGAGATGTGTAGTTGTTCCGCGTCGGAGAGATGATTGTCCGTGAGGTTTAGTGTAAAGTCCGTTGGTTTGTTTTGAATCGTCGTTTTGTTGTCATATTTGTTCGAGATGCCCGAACAGCTGGTTTGTTGTGCGACCTGGGGGCCTGGGAAAAACCTATTCCTGAGATGACTGGCTAGCCGGCCTTGCCCCACCACTAAAACAGGTTCGTAACAATAATGGCGCCCAATCTAAGACAAATTTGTGAGTCGCAGTCCGTTCTCGAACACGAAAGTGGGAGAGTACGGCTGCGAATCACAAAAGTCGAGGAGGTTATAAATGTCCAGCCGAGAGGAACGATCTCGAGTGGTAGTCTGCAGTAAGGGTCCGTCTGTGTTCCGGTGGCCTGGGAGGAGCTGTGAAGGTTGGCTCGCAGATGCACGGCACTGAGGGATCTGAAAATGTAGGAATCCACAAAGTAAATTGTTTTTTTGTAGTTTGTGTTTAAACTTATCTGACAGAGGGAAGCCGGAGCTCTCAAGGGGGTGAGGTTGGCACTGACGGAGGAGAATACTCAAGCCAGTTAGCAACCGACCCGTTGCCTGGTGGACGAAAGAGAGCCTGGAAAGAAAAAATACCCAAAGTTAGTTAAGGTCGAGTAGTTTTTGTTTGTGCTGCTTCCCCTACTTACCGCTGGAGGAGGCGGGAAGGTAGTATCTCGTAGAGATTTTTGCTGTAGGTGGCCCGTGGGGACATTTAGTCGGTCACGCGATGCACCTGGAGCAGCTACAGGATCCCGAGGATATCCTTCAGTAGAGTAGTGGGACAGAAGCAGCTAGGTAGAAGAGTGAGCGCCCTTGACACTTAATCTTCTGTAGAAGATGAGAAGTCAACAGCGCTCGCGACTAAGAAGGTAGACGTTGGACAAGCAAAGACGTAGGGAACCAAGTGCAGATGGCTCCAGTAGCAGTTGTGGTTACTTTCCCCTCTTGTGGTTGATCTTGCAGTTTTTTTATTTGTTTTTTTTTGTGTTGAGTTTTGTTGGAGTTAGGTAGTTATCTGTGAAAGAAAGGAAAGTTAGGTAGTTAGAAAAGTTTATGAGCAGCTACAACTTACGGTCAAAAGGGAAAATGACTCACAGGACTCCTCCGCCAGGAAACCTGCCTGAACAGATGCGAGGAGGAGATAGTCAGGGCGCGGAAGGAGGCGAGAACGACAGCTGGAACCCGCCGAAGACCCCAAAAGAATTGCCGTCGGAAATTCTTTCGGGCATAAACGTCGCCATAGCACAAGCGCAGGAGACGCAGAGAGGTGCTATGGCGGACACCATCAGCAGGACGCTGCAAGAAGAGATCCGTCGTGGATTTATGGAGCTGATGGCTGCCATAACGGAGGCAATGACGCCCCTGCGCCAGAAGGGAGAATTGATCCATGATCTGGGCTGGGAGAAGGGTCCAAATGGCAGAGAAGGCGGTCCAGCGGCTCCAGAATGGCGAAGACAGAGTACCGGCACCAGACCCAAAGGTTCCGTGGAACAACAGGAGCATATTCCACAAGCGCCTCCAAGGAAGCCGGAGAGACGGAGCCAAAGTTGGGCCCACATGGTGGAAGATGGCGGTCTGGAAACGAGACCGATGGAACTGGAACGGGAACCAGCAGGAGACGGCGGAGCTCGGCGATTCACGACGCCCTACGAGAGGCGAGACGAGTGGAGAGAGCCGAGATGGGGACGCGTCGACAAGTGGGACATCCATTTCGACGGCGATCCAGACCCAGCCAAACTGACGGTGGAGGATTTTGTCTTTCGGGTCGAATTTCTCCAGAGGCAGAGTCGACGCTCGTGGGACGAAGTCCTCAATAATTTTCACCATCTGGTGAGAGGACGGGCTGCCGAGTGGTACTGGCAGTTTGTCCGAGAGAGGCCTCCAGAAGTCTGGGAGGACTTAAAGGACGAGTTGGTGACCCGATTCCGTGCAGTAGGTGGGCAGTACGAGCGGCTGCGTGCGTTGCATGAGCGACGCCAAGAACCTGGAGAATCGGTGGAAGACTACTTCCGAGCTATGCGGAGGCTGGACGCAAGGCTTATCACACCGATAGCGGATTCCGAGATGGTCAGAGTCGTCAAGAAGGGACTCGAGGAGGAGATCGCTCGGTATGTGTACGCGATCCGAGTCCGGAACCTGGAGCAGCTGAGGGAAGAGTGTGTAGAGGTGGAATACCATTTACGCAGACGTGAGCGAAGGTCAGCTTTTCGCCCGACGACAAAATTCCAACAATCCGGGAAGCGAGTCGAGGAGATAGAGCCAGATTCGGAGCTGTTGGAAGGAAAGGAAGAGTTGATGGTTGAGGAAACCCACCTGACAGCGAAGCCGAGGCTGGGTTGCTGGAATTGCGGAGAAGTTGATCACGGGTTCCGAGAGTGTATGGCAAAGGAACGCAGAGTATTCTGTTACCTCTGCGGAAAGCCCGAAACGTACACGCCGAAGTGTCCCAACTGCTCGGGAAACGCAAGAACGGGCTTGATAAAGGCGGGACATCAGAGCTCGGGACGAAGGCCCGCGAGAAAGTGAAGGATGCGCTGTTGGAGTTTGTAAAAATTAAGCATATTAACCCAAGTAGTGTAGAAAAATATAGTTTAAAATTCTTACCGGCCGAAGAGAGGATGAGGAGATATACACAAGTCCGAAATCGGATCTTTGACGGACATCATCTGAGTGGAATGCGAGGTGTCAGCCGTAGACTCCAGAAGGCCCGGGCACGCTTCCGGCAAAGGAGACAGACTCGCAAGGAGGTGGCTGAAGCAGTCAGGCGTGGAGCAGGACGTGACCCAAGGGTTTTTGCCAAGGTGCAAATCCTAGGACGGAAGATTTCCGGACTCCTGGATACTGGGGCATCCGTAAGTGTCCTCGGAAAGGGCAGTCGTGAGCTCCTAGACGACCTCGGGGTGGAGATGGACAACTATGTCTCGATCGTCAAAACCGCCGCAGGAGAGGACCGGACCATAATCGGCAAGGCGAGAATCCCTGTGGAGTACAAAGGAATCAGCAAGGACATTCTCTTTTACATCTGTCCATACCTGGAGCAAGTCATGTACTTGGGTGTCGATTTTTGGAGGTCGTTCGCGTTGGCTCCCACAGTCCTCGGAGCTTATCCAAGTTCGCCCAGCGATGCCAAGATATCCGAAGTCCAGATGTCACAGATCAGCCAATATGCCGAAGACCATCAGGAGAACGTACATGTGGACGCGTGGGAACTGGAAGAGAAAGAAGCTGAAGAACTAGAGGAGGTGAAGAAGGAGTTCCTAACTTACGAAGATGCCGGATTAGGGTCAACGACGGTAGAGGAGCATCGGATCCAGTTGGTAGAGGGCGCGGAGCCGTTTAAAGATCGACACTACCCTCAATCCCCAGCGATGCAGGAAGTGGTCTGGACCGAAGTGGACAAGATGCTGGAACTGGGAGTGATAGAGGTTAGCGATAGTCCGTGGAGCAACAGGACGACGGTAGTGCGGAAGCCTAACAAAAACAGATTTTGTTTGGACGCGCGAAAGCTGAACCAACTCACCGTCAAAGACGCATACCCTCTTCCTAGCATCGAGGGAATACTGTCCAGGATCGACCAGACGCACTACATTTCCAGTGTAGACCTCAAATTTGCTTTCTGGCAAATTAAGCTGGATCCAGAAAGCAGAAAGTGTACCGCGTTCACCGTTCCAGGTCGTCCGCTGTACCAGTTTGTAATGATGCCCTTCGGTCTGTGTAACGCTGCACAGAGGCTATGCAGGGTGATGGATAAAGTGATCCCGACGCAGTTGAGATCAAACGTTTTCGTCTATCTAGATGATCTCTTGGTGATAGCTCCCATTTCCAGACACATCTCCGGTACCTTCGGTTGGTGGCCCAGTGCCTGCGAAAAGCAAATTTAACAATAGGCTTACAAAAATCAAAATTTTGCTTTAGGTCCCTGAAATACCTGGGATTTATCATCGGAGGTGGCACGTTGCAGATGGATCCTGAGAGAGTTTTGGCCATTCAAAGGATTCCCAATCCGAGTTCAGTGAAGGAACTAAGAAGCTTCCTAGGAACCGCAGGATGGTACAGGCGCTTCATCAAGGATTACGCTTCCATTGCAGTGCCGCTGACAGACGCGCTGAAGAAGCATCCGCGTGGAAAGTTTTTCCTGTCCACGGAGGCCGAAACGGCGATAGGATCCCTGAAGAAGGCACTCACCACGGCTCCGGTATTGAGTCATGCGGATTTCAAGAAGCCTTTCTACGTACAGTGCGACGCATCGAATTACGGAGTGGGAGCGGTGTTGTTTCAGTTGGACGTCGAAGGAGCCGAGCGTCCGGTGGCATTCTTCTCCGCCAAGTTAAACAAGCATCAGCTAAATTATTCTGTAACGGAAAAAGAGTGTTTAGCTGCGGTGTTGGCCATTGAGAAATTCAGACCATACGTGGAATTGATGCCCTTCACGGTTATCACGGATCACGCCAGCCTGAAATGGCTCATGTCGTTGAAGGACCTAAACGGACGTCTTGCGAGGTGGTCATTGCGACTGCAGAGGTTTGACTTTGGGATCGAACACCGGAAAGGAGTCGATAACGTCGTGGCGGATACGCTCTCACGCTGCATCGACGAAGTGGTGATAGATCCAACGGAGATCCTCGGGTTCCAGACGACAGAGTTTGAGTCTTCAGAATATCAGGAGCTGAAAGGAGAAATCGGCAAGAATCAAGACATGTTGCCCGACTTACGAGTGGAAGGGGATTTGATATTCAAGCGGATGGCCTTCACGCAAATGGACGACCAAGTGGAAGGGTCCATTTGGAAATTATGGATTCCCGCGTCACTGACGGAAACTCTCATCTCCAAGGCCCACGAAGACCACACAGCTGGACACGGCGGACTTAAGAAGACCCTGCATCGGCTTAGAAGGCAATTCTACTGGCCAGCGATGACGACACAAGTGCGGGAGTATGTCCGGAATTGCGATGCATGTAAGGAGTCCAAAGCTCCCAATTATCGAAGCCAGGTAGGGATCGGTCAGGAAGTCGTAACGGAGAGGCCGTTCCAGAAATTATACATCGATTTTCTGGGAAAGTATCCCCGGTCAAAAAGGGGACAAGCCTGGATATTTGTCGTCGTAGACCACTTCTCTAAATTCACCTTCCTGAAAGCGATGAGAGAGGCGACCGCGGCGAACGTAGTTCAATTCCTAGTACAGGAAGTGTTCTAAAAGTTTGGGGTGCCCGAGGTGATCCACTCCGACAACGGAAAACAGTTCCTGTCGAAGATCTTCCAGGACATGACCAGCACCTTTGGCGTCCGACATCTGCGCACAGCAGTCTACTCACCACAGAGCAATGCCGCCGAGAGGGTGAACCGGACAATATTAACTGCAATCAGGACGTATTTAGAGAAGGATCATCGAGACTGGGATATATACCTACCGGAGATTGAAGTGTCGATCCGTGACTCAGTACACGAAGCAACAGGCGTGACGCCGTTTTTTGCAGTTTTTGGACAGCAAATGTTCCTTAATGGGAACTGCTATAAGTTGGCGAGGAAGCTGCAGTCGCTGACGGAGCATGAGGTGCACGCATTGGACCCCGCGGATAAATGCCACATCATCCGGGAACGTATTAAGGCCAACCTTCACCACGCGTATGAGCGCAGCAGCCAGCGCTACAACAAACGGGCCCGAATATTCTTCGCCAAACCTGGGCAAGAAGTATACAGGCGCAACTTCACCCTCAGTGACTTTGGGAAGAGCTACAACGCTAAGTTCGCCCGGAAGTTCCTGAAGTGCCGAGTCGTACGCCCGGTTGGAAATAATGCCTATGAACTTGAAGACCTGGCGGGGAAGCCGGTGGGGATTTTTCACGCCAAAGACCTAAAATTGTAGGAGCAAAATTAACACCAAGATGTACTCACGTATTAATTGGTAGAAGAGTGGGTGTAAGCCTACGTTGGGGCGCTGTAGGCAAGGCCGACGCAAACTTATAAGTCCTTCAATGTTGGTGAATAATTCTTCGCGTCCATGGTCCCCCGAATTTTCACTAGGTGTTGCATTTCAGGGTAATCGATTGAAATAATCTGCATGGTAGAGAGGAAGGTTTCCAGACAGGGTGGCAAGGCCGAGGTTGAAGGGATAGTGGTGAGCGGATGGTGGCGCCCCCTAGTCGGGCGATCTTAAAACTATGAGATCCGCGCGCTCTTGAATTCCCTTGTGGAGAGAGGAGAGCCGGTGTCCCGGAGCCAATTCACCCACACACGCTTAAGGGGAGAGAGAGCGGTTACAGGAAGAGTAGGCCATGCCCTTGAACCTGGTTCAAGGGCAATAGAAGAGATCGATGGGGCTTGGCGACCAACGATAGAGGTATGGGAAGCTTAGGCTTAGGCTTAGGAGATCAAAAAAATCGTTGGCGGAAGACGGTACAAAAAAAAATCGGTTACGGATCGGGTCTCAGAGAAATAAAAATAAAAATAATTAGAAACAAGGAGGAAGTAGAGCTGCCTAGCGGGACCGATGCGGATATATTAGAAAAGCTGAAAAAAAAAGGAACAAAAACTGTGCCCAGTTCCGCCGTCCTGTCCACAGCGGCATGGTCCTTCGCCCGGCCTAGAAGTGGACCTCGGAATATCGTCCCCGTCCTCCAGCAAAGATTTCATTAAACCCTATTTAAATACCTACACATAAGTTAGAACCCACTAGGCCGTCGCATATCTGTGTATACACTTATTTATTTATTTACCGTTAATTATATTTATTTATTTGTTCTTATATATGTAATTGTCACTATTTATAATTATTTATTTATTTAATCATAGTTAATTTGATACGCCCATGCCCATAATTTAGGTCACAGAAAGGAAGAGGTTAGGATGGGGATTAGGAGGTCGACCTAAACCAGCTAGGAGTTACAGAATACAAAAAGAATGTGTGAAAAATGTTATTTAAAGTGAAATTATAACGTTTAATATGAATTGCTAGTGTGTTTAGTATGGGGGGAAAGGGGACCACAGCGGCGAAATGGAGATCGGCCGCTACACTTGAGGAAAAGAGGAGATGTGTAGTTGTTCCGCGTCGGAGAGATGATTGTCCGTGAGGTTTAGTGTAAAGTCCGTTGGTTTGTTTTGAATCGTCGTTTTGTTGTCATATTTGTTCGAGATGCCCGAACAGCTGGTTTGTTGTGCGACCTGGGGGCCTGGGAAAAACCTATTCCTGAGATGACTGGCTAGCCGGCCTTGCCCCACCACTAAAACAGGTTCGTAACAAAAATAATACTGTTTGTAAAGGCTCCTTGTAGCGCCATCCTCCTCTTTACCTATAAAATACAAATGCCCACCGAAATCTTTCACCTGTAATGCGTAATATATGTATAAGTTACATAAATTTTGTGGAAATATGTCGAAAATGGGATGTCGAAAATGGGTTAATGTTCTATTTTATTGATTAAATTGCAGCCTGAAATTACAAACAATATCTATTTTCTATAATATCCATTTATTCAAGGTATGTTGCACAACAATGCTGCCTATTCATTTTCCCATGTTGCTGAAATTTTTCCCATACAAATCAAATGTATCTTACGGGAATGGACGTCCACGTTCCATACGCGATCCCGTTAGTGAGCAGTGTGACCGCGGATTTTTCGATCAAATATACCGTCTTACACGTCTGAAATATGCAGCAATATAGCAACAAACTTAAAAAGTATACTATATTATATACCGATATACCATAAAATATGAACTTAACCCACTTAACCCCCGTCTATTAAGGACCATATGATACTAGACTTTGCTAACTAACTAGCTGCAAAAATAGAGATAGCCTTCAATAAACCTGCGTATAGAAGATTCTATTACCTAAACACCATGTACTATGTATAGAGCGCTTTGGTTTCATCTACCCGCTAGAAACGTTTTCTAACGCCATCGCTATTATGGAGATGGCTGGTGTAAGCGATATGGCAGTTACATCTTCGCAAAACAGCGTGACTTTCCAGTAAAGTACCGTCAAAATTTGAAAAGGTAGAATGATGGAATCAGGAAAACAGGAATCCATTGACTTTCAAATATATAAATGCATATTTGCTTGTATTTTTGAACATTTTTAAAGCACTGCGGGAATTTCCCCCGAATTCATTTATACAAAAGATTTTAGAACTACTTCCAACACTATTTTAATTCTTATTTTTGTTTAGGAAAACTAAAGGGCGCCGCATATGGATACATCATGGAGCTGTAAGGTGAGCCGGCAGCCAGCAGGGGAAATGGAAACGCTTGTGGTGGTATATTTGAGGCAGTCTGAGGATTTGTCTTGCTTGCATTCCGCTTTCGCTTTTGCTTAGAGACGGGTGCTGGCTCATCGCTGGATGGTTCGGAATCTTCGCTATCGCTGCTTGCCTCCTCATCGTCGTCGTCGTCTTCATCATCATCATCATCATCATCATCGTCGTCATCGTCGGCAGCAGTCTCCAGTTTCATTCTCTTTTGTGGCGTTTTCTTGGACTTCTTAGGTGTCTTTTTATCCTTTTTCGACTTGACAGGCGTAGACGAGGGCGGTGCGGATGACATTGTTGGCATCGCACCAGCGGGAAAGGCAAACCGTTGCTGCTCCACATTGAACACGGCCATCTGCTGCATGGTGTACTCCAAATATGCCTGCAGAGCAATGATCATATTCGGTGGTTTTGGACAGTTCTTAAGGCTATGGAACTGAGCCGAACAGTTTTTGCATATCATCTGGCACTCGAAGGATGTGTGGCCCTGAAAATACAACAGAAATAAGAATTTTTCTGCAACTATATGAGGATGTACTTACCTTTTTGTCGCAAATTGCACAGCCATTGTCGGGTTTTTGCTTGCTTTTACTTTTGTTGGCTTTCTGCTGCTCATCCTCGTCCTCCTCGTCCACCTCACTGCTCTCCTCGTCCTCATCAGGTATGGTGTAGTGTCGCTTCGGAGCGCCCAAGCAGATAACATCCTCTTGGGATAGGGTTTTCTTCATTTTCTTAGATGTCTTGCCACTCGATTCCTTCTCTTTTGCTGCTGTTTTGCTTTTAGCTGGTGGCAGACTATCCTCACTGTCCGAATCAGAGTCAGAATCCTCGGAAGATGAGGAAGAAGAAGATGCTACTGGGGCTTTAGCAGAGGCCACTTGTGCCTTGGCAGCTTCTGCCTTCGGTTTCACAGCCTGAGCTTTAACCACTTCACCAGTCTCTACGCTTTCATCGGAGCTGCTGGATGAGCTCTCGTCGCTGCTCTCCGCTGGCTTTTTGACGGGCTGCGGTGCAGGTTTCACAACTGCCGGTTCTTTCTTCTCCTTCTTGATGTTAATGCCGATAGGTGGCACCGTGGGTTTGGCTTCAATGGCGGCAGGCGGCTCAGGCTCAGGCTCAGGTGCTTCTGTTGCTAACGGAATATAATTCATGGTAGCCTCAGGCAGCTGTGGCACTTCCAAGACGCCCAGCACCGATGGGTGTACTTCGGGAGCTTGAGCTTGTCCCATAGGTTCGTAGTAGAAACTAGTATTAGGTATGGGCTCCTGTGGAGCACCCCAGTTGTTGTTACGTTGTCCTCGTTGCGAATCTCTGCGATTGTCACCTCGCCCTCCACGAGGCCTGCGATTTCTACGACCACCAGGCCCGCCTACGCTGTCGCCACCTCCTCTACTGTTTGATCTACGTAATCCATTGTTTTGGTCTTGCTGCTGATGAGGGTCACGGAATTTGGAAAACGAATCCGAGTGGTTGCCATTGACACTACCACCACCACCACCACCACGGCCGCCGCCACGGCCACCGCCACGTCTACGTCCGTGATTCACATTATTGTGGTGTCCATTTCCTTGTCCATCAGCATGTCCGCCGTTCTGTCTGTTGAAATTTGGATTATTGTGACCGCCACGGCTGCGCATATCTTGGTTTTGTGGGGCACCGGAGTAGAAATGAAACTTGTCCTGGACTGGGTGGTTCGAGCTGGAATGTCCTTGGCCGTTTTGCATCCTATAAAAGTGCCAGAATGAAATATTCGTTTACCATTTACCACCGGCGCGGCGCACGTGTTGTGCTGCTTGGAGATGCTAGCCAACTATCGATATTCTTTGTTATTGAAATATCGAGTTCATCCCTAGCCCACTAGCCCTTCCCTATTGTTTTGTTGAACACGTTCAAAAACCAACGCACGAATGGGGAAAATGAGGAAACCTGACCATAAAGAGATGCTGCACAATCGCACTAAATCCTGGGGCAAACAGAAGTTCAAGCCCGCGCCATTTGTACGCAACAGGGCACCGGCACCCGTTCCCGATCCCCAGGAGACAGCCCAGCCATGGCAACATGTGAAGAGCGATCTTATAGACGATGCCGTGGAAGCGGGCAACGCTGGGCGCCTGGATGCGGACAGTACGAAGGCGAAGGAGTTCCGAAGGCAGCGAGAGCAGAACCACAGACGAAGCATGATCGAAGCCACGCGTAGTGAGAAAACCACATGGGAATCCTTCGAAGATGAGCCCACACCGTCTAAAGGAAAGAAGGCCAAGAATAAGAAACCGCCTCTGAAGGCGTCCGGAAAGTCCACATTTGCTGAGTGTAATCCGTACAAGGGGGAAATGCCAACTAATACCGAAAACTTTACCTTTGAGGAACGCGATTTCTATCGAAGAAAAATAACGCTCGGCGTAGCCATGTCCAGCCGAAAACCCAACTTAAAAACGGCAATTGCAGATCTGACCAGATGTGGTCTGAAGGCATCCTCACAGCCGGCTTTAAAGCAAAAGAAAGCAAGAGTAAAGAAATCAAAGCCAAAGAAAGAGCTGACGGATGCCATGAGGAATAACCCATTCCAGAAGCAGAGCATTGAATATTAGACGTTTCGTGGTGGGGGGACAAAATCAGAAATGTATACACAACATTACTACACGCTTTATGTAAATCTTAGACATAGTGGTACAAATACATGTGGAATAGGTCTGCAAAAATAATAAATAAACTAAACAGAATGAGACTCCATGTACTCCGTATAGACAGTCTTCCACAGAGTAAGGAAGTGGAGATTGATGCTGCGGCGGCTGCTGCTGCTGCTGCTGCTGCTTATGCGAGATTGATTTGAGGCTTATGGATTTTCAGCCATTTGCATTTGCCAGCTTGGCAATTAGCTGATTGAATTTGCTGTTGGCTGTGATCGCCTTTTTGGAGTTGCGCGCCTGCTCGGGGGCATGCTGCAGAAAGTAGATGACCATAAATTCGAGTGTTTGATTGGCTTCCTTGGGGTACATCATGTTAAAGGTATAATAGTAGCAGATCAATTGGGCAATTATGTCGGGCAGATCGCCATCGTTGGCGGTAAATTGGGCCATTATTTGGCCCTCAATATAAACCATGGCCTCACTCTGCACTTCCACACCATCGGCTGTTGTCATGGGCGTATCTAAAATATAGAGTTACTTAGTCGTTTTCTTGGCCAATGATTGACTGAATGGCTGAATGGCCGGGCTACTCACTGACTAGAGCCACCCAGGGGGCATTTGTTGGATTCATTTGCTGCAGCACGTCTTTGGGATAGGGACCTTTGTCCAGCTGCTTGAATATGTAATCGGGATCCTCATTGAAATGGTAGGCCAGGCCACGCAACAAATTGGCATTGCTCTCCTCCAGAGCACTGATCTTCTTGTTCTTCGATGTCTTGAAGAACCTGAAAATGCGCTCCTTTTCGCTGGTCAAACGCTTCTCCAGCACCCGTGGATCGATTGACATGAGCAGCTCGAAGTGCTGGTACAGCAATTCCTTGTTAAAGATATACGGCCAGTTATCCTTAATGGATGTGATGTCGGGGATCTTTTCGCTGTTGTTGAAGAACGCACGCTGCAGCGGGAAGCATTCCTTCATATACTCCGTAATGGTGGCTGGCTCGACGGTGGTGCTGCCGCGGTAGCTTGAGATGAGCAGCTCCTTCTTCTCCTCCAGATCCCGACTGGCTGCCAGGGCCTTGGCATCGCCATTGGCCGCTGTGGCAGCGCCCACACTGGACTTGCGCTTCTTGCTGGTGATGTGTATCTCAAAGTTTCCCGAGTTGCTGGAGCCACTGGCTCGCTTCTGCGGCCTGTTTAGCGCATTGTTGCGGTTGATCATTTTCGAGATGAGCGACTGGGGCGTGGTGGCCAACAGTTGGCCCTCGCGATCCTTTTCCATCAGTGAATCTGGGTACTTCTCGGCCGCCTGCTGGGCCACTTGTCGGAACACCCTTATGGGTATATGGACAGAGCGCTCCCGCAATGCCTCCACAAGGATATTGCCAAACGTATTCAGGCGCTTGCCCAGGCTGTTCTTGCCTCGCAGCAATTTCATTATATCGTTGGGTACCTTATTCCAAGGTATCGAAAATTCTTTAAACAGCGCCGACGTCTTCGGATTGCTGGGCGTAACGCTGGCCAGCGACAGGGTCTCGTCATTCGAGACGGTCGAGTCATTGGCGTTCGATACAATACTGTTGTTGGCGTAGAAACTGGGATCCACCGAGCTGCCAGCACGCTCCGATCGGCTCAGTGGCGAGGGCGGAGGCAGAATTACATATTCATCCGTTTCGGCGAGCAGCATTAGCAGAATCTTCTCCTTGGCTGCAAACAAGAGAACCTCATCCTCGCATATCTCGCACCCATTGCTCTCCAGGACAATGGTGTTGCCCGCCAGGCCATACTTGTGGGCTAATAAATGCACGTAAATAAATTCAATTAATGTCCAATAAATTGAAGAAATTGTTAACACAAGATTTCATTACTTACCCTTGTCCATCACATCCTTCCTCGTGGGCAAGGACATGAACGTCTTCTTGGTCTTCCGATCGGCACTGCATATGGTAATCAATACTTTCTCAGTGGACAACTCGGCCTTAGATTTCTCCACAACTTTTTCAGCCACCATATTGGAATGTGTTGATTCTGCATTGAAAGTAAACATGAAATTAGTTATTGTGCACACAACACATCCCATCCATTAGCGTATTAGCATCTCCGGGCAGTGGGTACGCACCAGAGCCAGTTTTAGTTGTTTCTGATTTTTTTGCTCCTCCTGTTTGTACACCATTTTCGTTTGTTGCCGGGGCCGGCGGCTGGCTTGGTGCTTGTGGCTTCACATCGTTCGCAGTGTGCTGGGGCACTGCTGTAGCAACGTCCATGGCTTTTATTTTGGATAATTCAATTCAGAACCAAGCCTCCAAGCGCCCTTTCTTTCGCTGTATTTTGTTGGACCGTGAAATAAAAATGAAGCAGTGTAGGGATGTAAAAAATACATCGATGTTTGTGTGTTGCAGTTCAACGCTGAACTAGTTCGATGAACCTGAACTACAGTTTGTAGCGTTCTTGAGGCCAGAGTGCCAGAGTTCGCTTGGCTATTTTTTTTTTTTTTGCCAAATCGTATAAATAATCAAGTTTTTTGCTTGAGTAATATTTCGCCCACGCTTATGGTGATAATCAAATCGTTAAAAGATCATTATACTATAATTCGGGATAGTTAACTGGTTCTTTGAACTGGCTGGCGTATACAAAACAAAACTCGATAACTCATAAGTGTTGGACAACACTCCAGTGAGCACCTTACCTAAAATAATATCCTTAAAATAAGGCAGATTGTAGAAAATATATTCATCCATCTGATAAAATGTTCAGTGGTAAAAGTGCTAAATCAAATATCAAAATTGATGAATATGGTTTTCCGCGGATATTTACGGTATGTTATGGAAAATGACAAGGTAGATTTCGGTATATTTTTGAGGGTAAGACGGTATATTTGATCGATAAATGACCGCGGGTCACACTGATTCAATTTTCGGCCGCGGACTCGCGTTTATTTTTGTTTTTCTCCTTGGTTCCATATTTTTCTTCAATTCAAAATATAACTCGAACCAAATCACATCATCGAGGACTCGAGTCCAGCGAAAACATCAGCATCATGCTTTGAAGTGATTCCTATCCTCCAAGTAGCTCCAGCTCCCCAAACAAGGAGCGGCTGCCCTGCCGTTGGGGCCCATTAATATTCACAAAAGGCTGCAATTTGGATGTATTATTAGCGAATATTATACCTGACTCTCGACACACGGAAGGCATTATGCAAATGTAAGTAAATAACGCAGCCAAATTGATTATATGAAACCATTTTGATCGTTTAGGAATTGCTGGGAGCTAGCAATCATCTGCCTGTGGGTGGCCTCAATCTGCGTGAGATCGACGACAGGCAGCCTGTCGAAGTATGGCAGCACCACGGCGCCGGCAAGTGTCAAGCAAGTGGATGTGGAACTGGAGCCCATTAATGGCACACTCAATTACCGTCTGTATGGGAAGAAAGGCAAAGATGATAAGCCGTGGTTCGATGGCCTGGACAGTCGACACATTCAGTGTGTGCGGCGGAGTCGCTGCTACGCCACCACAAATCTCACGAGTACCTGCTTTGGCTCCAAATTGCCCTATGAATTGAGTAGCCTCGATTTAACAGATTTTCACACCGAAAAAGAGCTCAACGAGAAGCTCAACGATTACTACGCTCTGCGGCATGTACCAAAATGCTGGGCGGTTATTCAGGTACATAATCCCCTGCAGAAATGGTAAAATTTATTAGCTAACACTTTCCCTGTCACTCCACTTCCATTTATAGCCATTTCTGTGCGCTGTTTTCAAGCCGAAATGCGAGAAAATCAACGGCCAGGACATGGTCTACCTGCCTTCGTATGAGATGTGCCGGATTACGCTGGAACCCTGTCGCATTTTATACAACACAACATTTTTCCCGAAATTCCTGCGCTGCAACGAAACGCTTTTTCCAACGAAATGCACAAACGGTGCACGCGGCATGAAATTCAATGTAACCGGCCAGTGCCTGAGTCCTCTGGTGCCGGCCGAGACTGCGGCCAGCTATTATCCGGATATCGAGGGATGCGGTGTGCGCTGCAAGGATCCTTTGTATACGGACGATGAGCATAGACAGATCCACAAGCTGATTGGATGGGCGGGCACCCTGTGCCTGGTCTGCAATCTATTTGTGGTGGCCACCTTCTTCATCGACTGGCAGAATGCCAACAAATATCCGGCTGTGATTGTATTCTACATAAATCTGTGCTTCCTGATTGCTTGCATTGGGTGAGTCCCCACATTGGGTTTCCTTCTGGCCCACACAGGAGTCTAATATCTCTCTCTCCCTCTTCAGCTGGCTCTTGCAATTCACTTCCGGATCCCGTGAGGATATTGTCTGTCGTAAGGATGGCACTCTTCGCCATTCAGAGCCCACCGCCGGCGAGAATCTGTCGTGCATTGTGATCTTTGTGCTGGTGTATTACTTTCTGACGGCCGGCATGGTCTGGTTTGTGTTCCTCACCTATGCCTGGCACTGGCGCGCCATGGGTCATGTCCAGGATCGCATCGACAAGAAGGGCTCATACTTTCACCTGGTTGCTTGGTCGCTGCCTCTGGTGTTGACCATCACTACGATGGCCTTTAGCGAGGTGGATGGCAACAGCATTGTTGGCATCTGCTTTGTTGGCTACATTAATCATCCAATGCGCGCTGGCCTGCTGCTGGGACCGCTCTGCGGTGTCATTCTCATTGGCGGCTACTTCATAACGCGCGGCATGGTGATGCTCTTTGGGCTGAAGCACTTTGCCAACGACATTAAATCCACGTCGGCAAGCAATAAAATCCATTTGATCATCATGCGAATGGGCATCTGTGCTCTGCTCACCTTGGTCTTCATTCTGGTGGCTATTGCCTGTCATGTGACGGAGTTCCGGCATGCCGAGGAGTGGGCTGAAAGCTTTAGGGAGTTTATAATGTGAGCATATAATGTGTACTATGTCCTTTGATCCTTGTACTAATCCCTATTTCGTTTATTCCATTTTTAGTTGCAAAATATCTTCCGTTTTCGAGGAGAAGAGCTCTTGTCGCATTGAGAATCGTCCCAGCGTGGGTGTGCTTCAGCTGCACCTGCTGTGCCTCTTCAGTTCCGGGATTGTCATGTCCACCTGGTGCTGGACACCATCTTCCATTGAGACCTGGAAACGTTATATCAGAAAGTAAGTTTATCTTTACCTTTTTTGTTGAATTTTTTGGGTTTTCAAATGTTAATTTGATTTCATTCTTGATTTCTGTACAGAAAGTGCGGCAAGGAGGTCGTCGAGGAGGTCAAAATGCCCAAGCACAAGGTCATTGCCCAGACCTGGGCCAAGCGCAAGGACTTCGAGGACAAGGGCAGACTGTCCATAACGCTCTACAACACCCACACCGATCCTGTGGGCCTCAACTTTGATGTAAACGATCTGAACTCCTCGGAGACGAATGAGATTAGCTCCACTTGGGTGCATTATCTGCCTCAGTGCGTTAAGCGTCGCATGGCCCTCACGGGTGCTGCCACAGCAAACTCTTCCAGTCAGGGACCGCGCAAGAACTCCCTGGACTCGGAGATCAGTGTGAGTGTGCGGCACGTTTCGGTGGAATCACGACGCAATTCGGTGGACTCTCAGGTGTCTGTAAAGATTGCCGAAATGAAAACCAAAGTGGCGTCGCGGAGCCGGGGCAAACATGGAACCTCGACAAGCAACAAGCGAACTCAGCGACGGAGAGACTACATTGCTGCCGCCACGGGCAGGAGCAGCAAGTACAGCACTGCAGGAGGCAGAAGGGAGAGCAGCACTTCCGTGGAGTCTCAGGTCATTGCCATGAAGAAGACAACCTATCCAAATGCTAGTCACAAAGTGGGCGTCTTTGCCCACCACAGCACCAAGAAGCAGCACAACTACAGCTCTATGAAACGTCGCACGGCCAATGCCGGACTGGATCCCTCGATTCTAAATGAGTTCCTGCAAAAGAATGGCGAATTTATCTTTCCATTCCTGCAGAATCAGGACATGACCACATCATCCGAGGAGGAGAACTCACGAGCTTCAATGAAAATCCAAGACCTGAACGTGGTGGTCAAGCAGGAGCTCAGCGAGGAGGACGACGACGATGATGATGATGTGAGGACTGGGCCAAAGATTGAGGAGCTGCCGAACAGCAAGCAGGTGGCTCTGGATAATTTCCTCAAGAACATGCAGAAATCCAACGAATCGAACGGCAATCGGCATTCCCGCAACTCCACACGGAGTCGTCAGTCTCGGAAATCACGCAAGGACACGTCCAAGTCGCATCATCATCATCCCAAAAACATCGGCAATGGCCTGATGACTGATTTGCTGCAGATGGATTTCAAGCGCGACTATGTGCGGAATCGCGCCAACGACTCGCTCAGCTGCTCCTCAGTGGAGCTGGACGTGGCCCTGGATGTTGGCAGTCTGATGCACAGTTCCTATTCGGGCATGTCGATGGGCAAGCCGCATTCGCGCAACAGCAAGACCAGTTGTGATGTGGGCATTCAAGCCACTCCCTTCGAGATTGCCAATCTCAACATACCCTCGTATGGCAATGAGGAGCTACAGCAGGCAATGCGACTGCTGAATGCGGCCAGTCGTCAGCGCAACGACGCCGCACACGAGGAGGGAGGAGCCACCGAGATGCACTCTCTGCTGGGACACAATGGCCAGCGACATCACCGAGGAGAGCCGACATTTATGAGCGAATCGGACAAGCTGAAAATGCTGCTGCTCCCTTCCAAATAGTAAGACTGGCGGAGAATAATACTCAACCCAATGCATTTACTTAAGTTTCGAAAACTACTCGTACATATATACTTGTACCTCGTCCTTACATGGCATGGGCACAATAGCCTCGGACAAGTCCGATGATGCGTTTTCCCTCAATTGTTTTATTGAGCGAATTAATGATTACGATTTACGAAATAATACTCATAGACTTAGACTTTCGAATGTTCTTACAAATCTCATCCCATTTAGCGCCTAAGTACATCCCTCCTCCTCTATGTCTGCATGTAAATGATGTTTCGTTAAACACTAGACTATAGATTATATATATAGCTTTAACGCTATAACAAGTGCAGCAACAGCGGCAACCAACGCACAACGAATAGTGAATGGAAGAACACAAATGTTACGAGTATTACAAAAAAGTGCCTTTACAACGTTTACAAAATATCTCATATGTTTTTTGTGTGACTAATAAAACGATTTTAAATCCGTAATCCTAACCCTGTTTGATCTTCTGCTGCTGCTGCAGCAGCTTAAACTCCTGGGCCCAGACAATGCTGTTGCAGAACTCGCCCAGCAAGTAGCAAACGAGATTGAAGCCCACCAAAAGGGCAAGAAACAGGTAGCGCAACGCCAGAGGTAGCACCTCCAAAATGGGATAGACCCACTCGCCACTAAAGTAACGAACGATGTGCAGCCAAATAATGTACAGTAGGATGAACGAAATATTGCCCGTGACGCCGGCCAGCCGGCTGGGGTATCGCCGGAAGCACGTAAACATATCCATTACCGCCAACAGGGCCACATTTGTATGTACCACATGGTTCAGCCAGCTGCAAAAGGACGGTTTTATAATCTATTAATAATGGCACGTAAACGTGATTAATATAATGGCAGTTACCTCGGAAATATGGCATCCAGTGCCGAGGGAAATATGAGCTCACGATCCCACATATAAATCACCCAGAACGAGATGCAAACATTGTGTGCCACGGGAAAGGCCAGGGCTGAGAATACATAGTCGCGGACGGACCGCAGTTTGGACTTTGAGGCCACGTTGACAGTGTTGTCGCCGAAGAGATCGTTCAGCAAGGCCAGACTATGATATATAGCCTGCAATATGACGTCCAGGAATGTCAGATACTTGAATTTGCCGCCCCAGCGTGTCTTCAGCTCCTCCTCATCCAGCAAATCCGTTGGCCAGTGCACACGGAAATAGTGATAATAGATGCCATACGAGAATTGTGCCGCTGCCAGCACGTGCACAAGAAGTCGCAGGTACTTGAAGGCGCCACTTGTGTAGGCATCGTTGCAAGTGTCTAGACGGTCATTGGTGGCCTGAGCGGCTTCTTTGGCGATGTGCAGTTCACGTAATTGTTTTTTGCTTTTGGTCATTATGCTTGATTTGATTTCCACTGTGAGTGCGGACTAATAGTAGGGGTGTTTATTAGGCCCTCCCTAGCCCAACCTTCCATGGAATATACCTTGATGCTGTCAGCTGTTTGGAGCTCTCACCTTACCTCACCTTACAGGCTCATTACACAAACAAAACAAAACAAAATTCTCCGTCATCCATCAGATCTTTGGCTTTGACAGATAGATAACTGTCTATGCGAAGCGCCCGTTTTAAAAATCCGTACTTCATTAAACCAGAGTTTTTCGATTTTATTATGATACTCGTACTATATTATATTATATTTGAAATTACAGGATTTAACGCAGGTATTCAAAGTGTTTTGATGTGCCTTGATATGAGGAGGTTTGGTTTCAATTTGAAAAGGCGAATTTCACTTAACGATCAACTATTTAAAACCGACAAGAGAATTGAATAGAGACGTCTGCCATTTGATATCTGAGGCCATCTGGAGAACAGTGAAAACTACGACTATTAATCTCAAAAATTAGTGGCTGCTGCAAATGTATGTAATTCTTATTAAGAATAGAATATCATTAGCAAGTTGTGTGTGGTTTGTTGTTGTTTGGTTTTTTCTTCTCTAGACTTCATTATATTAAAGACTGTTCACATTTTAATAGTTATGTAAAATATATGTATAAGCGAATTATTTCTTTGTATATAGTTACTAATTAAACGTGACTACTACACAACAGAGGCACAGCCTAATTGGACTTGCGTTTGGCCAACTTCACTTCCTTGGACCACACGGTATTGTTCAAGAACTCGCCGACCAGGTAGAGAGCCAGTGTGAACCCAATTACGGCCACAAAGAAGACAATGCGCTGCGGCAGCTGCAACACCTCCAACACCGGATACACCCAGACACCGGAATAATGCTTGACAATGTGAATCCACACCAAATAGGCCCCCATGAAGATGGTGAGGCCAGTGAGACCCTTGCTGCGTTTGGGATAGGCGCGATATGAGGTAAACAGTTCCAGCACAATGAATACAACAATATTGGTGTGGAGTACATGGTTCAGCCAGCTGCAAAAGAAATTCATTTATTAAGTGTGCATAGAAAAAAACTTCGCACTTTTACTCACCTGGGAAAGACGGGGTCCAAGACCTTGGGGAAGACGAGTTCACGGTCGATGGCATACAGCGTCCAGAAGGTAACACCGACATTGAGAGCCACGGGGAAGGCGAGGGTGGCCATCAGCCAGTCCTTGAACTGACGTATGGCAGGGGGTCGCTTGGGTGCGAGCTCATTTGTGCCGACAAAATCATTGACGAGTGAAACGATATAGTAGAGAGCCTGTATTATCTGCAAGTGGGGAAGGTAAACGGGTGGTCAGACAGATACGTGCATACGTTTTCTGGCGTGTGTGCGATAACTACAGTTGAAGGGTTGTTTGGCTGTTCTGTGGAGTGGAAGGAATTACTTCCCCCAATCACAGTTGCGTGTAAGCGCGTTATCCAATCGTTTTCAGATTCGATTCAAAGCCAGTTGCCAACTGAACTTTCAGCCCGTAATTAGTATTCATGGGCTGTTGTCTTACCGCATCCAAAAATGTTAGATATTTAAACTTCCCACCAAACGGATGATGCATCCTCATCTCGGGCTCGGTTGTGGGGAACACAACATAATTATAATCATAATATATGCCATATAGGAACTGTACTGCAGCCGTTAAGTGCAGCAGCGTCCTAAGGGCGCCATAGACACCGCTGTAAACGGAGTTTGCTCTCACTGCTGGGACCATTTCTCAGGCAGAGTTAATTGATTTTTCACAACAAACCGGTCGTAGACGAAAAATATGAATGGAATTACTGGCCAGCCCAGCAGCGGTATTACCGATAAAATATACCCCGATACCGATATACCATAAATCATGATTGAGTGAACGAACTTAACCCATTTAACCCCCTCTATTTAAACAGGTGAACCACTTGAGTAAAGCCGCGGAAAATAATACTGCTTGTAAACTCTTCTCGTAGATCCACAATTCTACCTCCTTACTTACAATTAAATAACCACGATATCTTTCACCTGAGGTGCGCTAAAATTGTTCAAGTTTCCTAGCACACGTATGAATGTTCAAATTCCCACTGGTCGACAATGGGTTAATTCTATGTTTTGTTGATCGAAATTATATTCCTCGATTTTGATATTTGGCTTAATATTACTAGCTAGCAAGGACTCCCAGCACTGGCTATATAATTTTATCCAATTAATCAATCTATTTTCTACAAGACACAAGACCCATTTTTAGGTAGTCAAAATATATCGAAAAGAATATTAAATTCCGTAAACATTCCTTGCCGGCAACTGGCCAGCGGCCTTGAAAGAGCATATAACATGTTAATGTTAATTAACATTAACATTTGATACTGAATTGCTTGACTCGAAAGACCAGTAACGATAGTAAGCGATATATAAATTTTTGTTGTTTGCAGAGTTGTCGTGTTTTGCTTACCGCACAAATAAACGTTAGGAACTTGAATTTTCCAGCAAAGGGAACCGTATTGGGCATCTGGATGGTGTGGAAAATGTATACACCATAGGAAAACTGCAGCACGGCCGTGAAATGCAGCAATAATTGCACCGCCTTATTGAAGCCCGGTGATGTGGAGCCTTTGCTCTTCGACTTTGTCTTGGGCTTGGCCATGTTAAACTTTCGAATGCCAGATACGTACTGATTAGCCGCCCCAGTCCAGTCCAGGCTACAGCTACAGCTACTAACAGCAGTTGCACTAGTATTTCATATAAAAATGTATTCGTGTTCGCATTCGTTCTGTTCTGATACTGATAAGGTTGGGGTGTGCGCCTGCTTATCTGTCGCAACCGCCGCCGTGGTACAAAGTATGAATTGACAGAAGTTGAATTGATAACTTGAGAGAAGTGCTTAATCCGGCAAAAGAGCCAACCGGGAGGTTACCACTCCTGGGTTCCATCCACTGCTGCCACCCATATGAAGTGTGCCGGCTATGAATAGATACATTTATTTATGACAATAGCTCTTCAGAGTCCCCGTTCGGAACTAACGGCAACTATCGATTCCATTAAGTGCCGCTGAAGGTCATGGGGCAACTCAACGGAAAGCTTGCCAACGTCATTAAAGGAACGTTCGCTAACTGTATTACTTATCAACTGTACTGTCGTCAGGACTTTTTGCTGTTGTAATTTATCGATTGGTCTCTGATAATTGATTTGAGGTGCTTAAATAAATAAAAATAAAGTAATGCTATATTTGCGCCTCCTCATCGGTTTCGCCCTCGGAAGACTCCAAATTGATTTCGGTTAGCTCCTGCTCCTCCACACTACCACTACAGCTGTCCAGGTCACCGGTCTCCATGGCAGGAGGAGCAACCATCAAATCTGGCTGATCCTGGCATCGTTTGGCAGTATCCACAGCTGCTTCTACTGCCGCTCCCTGCTCGAACATGGGATTGTCAAAGGACCTCTCCCTCACCTCATCGCTGGCGGGATCGTAGCCCATCACAGTGACACGATCGACACCAGCGCCAGCACCGACAGCCTCATCACTCGGTCCGCCAGCAGCTGAGGCATTCTCAAAACGATTGAACAGCGGATTACGGCGCAGCCTGACACCCAAGTTATGCCACCGCCAACGCCATCGACGGGGATCGTGAATCCATTGGGGAATGCGTTTGAGGTAGGGATTCTCGGGCATAAAGTGGGCCAAAATGATGACACTAACGACGCCCACCAGAGCCATGCAGAAGAGTATCAGGAGAATCGAGGCAAAGGTTACATTCGGATTGTGAGGACGACCGGAGAACTTCAGCTCCACTCCCAGCTGCTTGGCCAGAAAGCTGCTACGATTGCGATGCTCGGCCAGGTACTGCATCAACTCGACGCTCCGTTCGCTATAGCCACCCCGATCGGTGACGATGGCCTGCAGGAAGCTGCCATACTGCTCGGAGCTCACATGATCCACATGCAGCTGAATCTCATCCGCCAGATCCCGCTGGGCTATCAGTGAATTGAGTTGCGTTTGCAGGGTCCTGCGATCCTCCTCGGAGCAGTGCTGGCGGGGCATCGTGAGGACAGCGCCGCAGATGAGGCAACAGGAGCCAAAGGGACGCACTGGCGACAGGCAATGCGGCGCTTCGCACTGCTCCTGGACATTGTGGCAGACGGGCTCGATGAGGCGATCAAAGTCCTTGTGGCAGCCACACAACTCACCGCGATAGTACTCCACCTGAACGTCCCGAGAGTTGTGGAAGAGGAACCTGCCCAGATCTCGGGCCAAGAGCTGCTCCAGGTATAGCTTGGAGATGGAGGAGCCAGCCAGGATCAGTTGCCCCAACCGTAGGTGCTGCACATTCTCCAGATCGAAGGCGATTGCAGCATGACCCTTGACAATAACCTGCTCATCGTCGCACGGCACCCGCTCCAGCTCCGGAACGGGGGAGGATGCACTCTTAGAGATGTCCGCCCACTTCCAGGTCAGTGGATCAAACCATTTACTTGATTTGGGCGCCTTCAGATGGGCCTTCTTCTCATCACTGTCACACTTGGAGGTCCTGGGAGCGCCAAAGGTTATGGTGGACTCCTCAGCAATCAGAATGGCCCCATCCCTGGGCAAAACCAAACCATCAATGGAGATGTCCTCTGGCAGTGGAAGAACAGCCGGAAAGTACGCGGGAAACACCACCAAATCCTCGGGACAGGGCATGTAGTCATCCAACCAGGCGGAGGGACTATTGAAGTCTGCACCCCCGCTGTACCACTTGGTGGCTGACGCCACTTGGCCGATCCAGAACAGCACCGACCACCACATGCCAACCGATTGAAATTTCAACTGAATTTTGTTTGTGATTTGTCAGCCATTTGGTTTCCCCCTGTATTTGGGGGCGTTTATTTTGTATATCACGAGAACATATCCCCCCGCCCCCCATTCCATTCCCCCCTTCCTGACTGAATTTTACATAGCAATCGAAAGATCGAAACCTTTCAGCGAGAGCAAATAAACTAAACCAATGTGACAGGCACATCCAAACAAAATCGAGTGTCATAGGGTATTCGTAGGAAGGGTATAGTCCATATTTTAAGGGGGTTTGCACAGGTTCCAAGTAGAGGTTATAGATTTAAGAATGTTATAAACATATTTTACCAAAGATATTCCAGAGAAAAGTTTAAGTTTAACTCTCATGCTAAATTACAAGCTCCGAACAGTCGAATTAAAGATCTAGGATCAATTCCGAATCTAAAGGTTGTATAAACCCTTAAGGTTTCAGCTAAATTACATAATTCAGTAAGGAGCTCAAAACAGAATAAAATTATTCGACTTTTCAGAGCCCTCCGATCACTCACACTCCCTGCATCAAAAAATTAGCTTTATAAATATCAGACCAGACTAATAAATCGTTGGAAATCAACAACACGATCCACCACCACACCACCAATCCACAAGCATATCAATGTACACATCTATGTACATATCTGTACATATGTTCCATGAATACATATTCTATATATGTACATATGTACGTACATAGACAGACATGTATCTTAGATATCTTTTTGCTCCAACAATGCAATTGTTTGGCACATAATAGTTTAAGTTTATTTTTTTATTTTGATTGCGCTGATATAAACAATTATCCCTAGCATTTTACGGAGGCGCTTGACGGAAGCCATTCGAATGCCCAAAAAAAATTTAGTAGCAGCGTAAAAAAGTTTCGAACCGGATGGTAATGGTATCGGAAAAAAATTGCTCATGCGACTACATAAAAGCAATTTGCTAAAGAATAAACGAAAAAAAACATAAGCGAGGGAGGCGAGTGAGTGCAGATCAGTAGATATGAAGCACTTTATGCTCACAACATCAAAGCGTTGAGAGAGGCAGGAAAGAAGGTGGAGACTAATCAAGGGCAGGCAAGGTCGTTTCGTTCAATAATAAACTACAAATCAAAAAAGCTTTCCAGGAAAGAAAACATAAATTGAATTTATAAATTTATTAACAAAACGTGTGCCTTCAGATTATACCCTTAATGAAAGATTTCACCACACGAAACAGGACATGACAGGACTGGACTGGACAGACCCTCAAACATTTAGCCCATAATTTGGTTGCTAAGTGGATGTGAGAAATATGCAATAGCCGATCGATTTTCTAAACAATTTTAACGATATGTAAATGAGTTTTGACGCCTGCCAATACCTTAACCATGCCATAAAACATTCGCGCCAATAAGCTAATCTGGTCTGGCATTCGTCACTACCATACATTTTTGTTGGCTCGGGTCATTGGAGAACATCTGAGCAAATAAATATTGTGGCAAGAGAAGGAATCATTTCTCAGAAGTTTCTCCGCAACACAACGGAAAGTGCAATGGAAATGAGGAACTTTTCCGAATGCAACGATTTTCGTAGCGCCATAGATATGAGAAAACAAAAAGAAGAGTGGGAGGCGGTGTGGGGAGGGGGGAGAATACAACTTGAACAACCTCAATGAGCAGACAAACAAATAAACATATGGCAGACATTATTGGGGGAAGGCAACACCGAGAGAAGAGCACCAGAAACAGGAATAATACGAGTAATAATAATCATTTTTTTCTGCACACTTGAAATAACCAAAAGCTGGCCGCATTTCCGTCGCTTTTTTAATGCCCATGATATATGTACATATGTAAAAGGGGCCAGGGGGCTGGGGTATGTATATAAATGATCCATAAATCGACTCACCAGGCACCAGTAGGACAGAAATTTAACCTTCTGTGGCAGAGAATCCGGCACCAGGCGACGACTCGCTGTTGTCTTGAGCTTGTAGCTGCGCTGTATCTCGAAATGGCTATAATAGAGGCCATAGGCGAACTGGCCCAAGGCACATAGATGTATGATTGTCACAAATAAACGCGACTTGTATAGCTCCACTTTGGTCATCCTGACTATATTTGAATAACTATAAACGAAAGCCAAAAGGGAAACATCAATTTGCAGTTTCTTGCATCAATAAAACGAACATCAAAAGAGGCTTTCGCTTCGCTTCGAATGTGAGGGGTTCTTTCTGTTTGGTGGTTTAAGGTAAGTACAAGTTCGTGCCGAAACACCTCCCTCTGTAGACGTTAAGTCAGCCCAAAGCGCGCACAAATTTAAATCAATATTTGCGTCACTGACATAAATATTTAAACCCACAAAAGACACAGAAACACACGGAAACTATGCCTCTTAAAACACACCACACACAGGAATTACACAAATTAAAGTTCCCTGTGGCTTTTAGAGTGCTTATGCTGTATGTTAATAACTTAATGGTTTTTTATGGACCGTTAAGAACAATTGTTGATTGTTTCAATTTTGATTTCTTCTTTAAACAAATCACAAAAAAAGTAGCACACGCACGTAAAATATTTCTCTTTGTTGTTTGTTTTGTATCTGGGATTTCTTTCTTTTTTATCCCCCTGATTGGTGTTCTCCTCTTCGTGTCAGCGGCACTACTGAAAACTGAGCGTGTGGAAAACTGGAGTCGCACTGTGGACCTGGCTAAATGTTACCCATACGCCGCATTGGCCTTTACGTTTTTTTTTTTGTATTTTGTGGTTGTACTTGTGCTGTTGCTTCGGTTTCGGTTTTGGTTTCGGTTTTGGTTTTGGTTTCATTATTCCTTTTCTTTTTTTGGTCGTGCGCATGTCCAGAATTGGGGAGCTGCGTGCCTATTCCAGGGGTTTGGTTTTGGGCCCTTTCATTATGCGTTACGTTGCTGTATGGATGGCCACATTTGTTAATGGCCAATCATCTGAATGAATCGGGCCACATACTAAGTATTGCAGCTCATTCGTTTATTTCCACAGCAGACAAATAAACTGGGGAGCATCATGCAGCAATATCAGCGTACAAAATCCGCAAACACGATAACAACACTATGTCTCCTATATTTAGATAATATTTTAGTCATGGCGTCAAAGCCAGAGATAAGAAAACGTGCAAAGGCAGTGCCATTTCACGTTTGAATAGTTGATTGTAGTGCGCGCTAAATCGATATATGCTAGTTAATCGGCTGGTATTTGTGGTATTTTTCTGCATCTCTGAACAGCATTATCGGTGCTTAAATTGAGTTAATTAATGCAGTTTGCCAATCAAATTAGCCACAATGAAAGAAGAGTAGAGTTACTTATAAATTTAATTGAAAGTTTTTTCCAACGATAGCAACACAGCAATTTGAATATCTATATATCGATATCCATACGTTTGCCGATAGCAATATATAGTCAGGCTGGGGGTGGGTGCCGGAAACTTGGGCGTGGGAAATAAATAAAATGTAAACATAAAATCTGTTGTTTGATTTATTTGAAATTGCATTTATACATACATATACATACATACTATCAAACAAAAATACCGAAAATACCAAACTATATCATCAGTATATTGTCGTTACATTTCTGAGGGTCGGGTCAATTTTAACCACACATTTTTCTTCAGTGGTGACACCTGTTCAATTTTAACCACACATTATGTGGAGGAGACTGGAGACTGGCCGGAGGAGGCACGCCTCACAAGTGGTTCTATATGGAAAAAAATAAAAGAGCACATACCGATGCTTTCAAGCAGCTGACCACCGCACATTCTTCTGGCGAAGGTTTCAGTTGATTGCAGAAATATTGAATACGCTTTCACAGATCTTACTCTACCTTCCGTGTGGAACGGAATTCCCACTCGCTTTGGACGATGGAATGGCCTTCTTTCGATTCGAAATGCCTTACGATTCGAAAGGCAGGTCTTAATATAAGTTATAAGTATAGTCTTAATCAGTGTACTTATACTTATACGTATACTTGATATTTGAGCATTCTAAAGTCTTAATCATTGTACTCACGCCTTTGCTAGCTCTTCGATTACGGGCAACAGCTCCTTGGGATGCGCCTTACGCTTATGCGAGCGACAATTCGGAGAAGTCCTTGTCGCAGAAATTACACTTGTACGGCCGTATGCCGGTGTGCAGGATGAGATGGGACTTCAATGTTTTGGTACGCTTGAATTCCGCACCGCAGAGCTCACACTTGTATTGCCGCTTGTCGGAGTGGACTATTTTGTGCTTGTTGAAGGTTCGTCGCTCTTGAGCTTCAGTCCGCAGATGTTGCACTCGTAGATGGTGGCACTGTGCGTGTCGGCATGCACCTGGAAGTGGATTCAAAGATTAGTGTTGCTCGGAGATGGCTCCATGGATCTACTCTACCCTGAGTCTGGCCTTGTTCTCGGTGGCAGATGGGCATTGCATTCGAAGGGACACTCGTCGGTGTGGACCAGCTTGTGATCATTGAGAGCGGCGAGAAAATTGAAGCTCTTTGCACATATGTAGGGCTTGCTTCCATGTGGCGCTTGAGGGTTCCCCGGCGTGGTGAAGAGCTTCGCACAGTGCGGGCAGGAGTTGTCCGCCTTGTTTTTGGGCGGCAAGTGACTGCGCTGGTGGGTCTGCTGCTGAGGCACTGTGGGAAAGCTGGCCCCGCATTGGTGGCAGTCGAGATTTGGCAAGTCGTTGGGCATGACATTATGCACTTCCAGCATTCTTGTATGCATTCGGGCTTTTTGTAGGGTTTGCGGCAGATTTCACATTTGTATGAATATATGGTAGGTTTCTCGTCCTGGGAGTTTGGCACAGGGTCATCCTCAACATCGGATTCTGAGCTTTTGGCAAGCTCTCCTCTGACGGCTCTCTTCATATGGTTTCACATCATTATATTCCTCGTTTTCGCTCTCTTCTATTATGCTATCCTCGTAGCACATCCTCTGCCTCAACATTCTCATCTTCTGCTTCCACTTCCTGCTTTTGCTCTTCCTGTATTTTCACTTGCACATGGAAGTCCTGTGGCGTTACGCTCTCGACATGACGTGCTTCCACTCGTCAGTAGACCACAATCCGTATGGAGCTCTTCATAGTCCACAGACCCTACATCCGGGCTTAGGTTCTGCAATCTAAGGAAGAGCGTCTGGACGCGTCGCACCCGCTCCGAGAACTACGACTACATCGATGGCGACCACATAATTAATTTTACATAGCATAGCTATTTTTATTACATTTTAATGCACTTATTAGGAATATTCTTAGAACAGAAAACTCTGTAAAACAAAACCAATACATTTTTTCTTTATATTCATATTCTTATACTACTCCTTTCGTGTTTGCACGAAATGCTATTTACTCTGCATCTAACGTGTCGAAATATTTCTCGTATTTCTCGTACGGACGCTTGTCGACAAGCTGAATGTGTTCCTCCCGTATAGTATATGCGAAAACATTTCATTTCAATATAGTTCTCGAATATCCGTTTCGTCTCCGCTTTCGTAGTCCATGATATTAGCCTGGGCGCGGACCGACGTGCGGCGCGTATTGAGAGGCAGGGGAACACTCTCAGTGGACAGACTTTTGCTTGTAGACGCGACTGGCTCCTTATTTTTGACAGCAGCAGAGCTTGCATTGGCCCGGTGGGGATCATCTAATCGGATAACCTTGGATAGCGGGACAAGGTCATGTGGGTCGTCATCATCATGTGGGTCGTCATCATCTTGAAAAAGGGGGATCAATTTACAAAAACACCTTGCATTGTAAAATGTACTTACCAGTCAAATCGCTGCTGGAGCTGGAGACGGCCTTTCTTTTCGTTTGTTTCTTCTTTAGCTTCGCCAACTCTTCTTCCAGAATGTTTGGATTCTGCCTTAAAAATCGGCGCAACTTCTTATTGTATCTATGGAAGGAAAGTAAGAATAATTATTGCATTGCACTGTCAACTTAACTTAACTTGACTTACTTGGCCTTTGGCGGCCGCTTCTATGTACGGAACCTTGCACTCTTTCGAAAGCCGATGCCATTCATCATTAATGAATTTTACGCGGTGAATTTTCGAAAGTTGCAGCCAGGTAGGGACGCGTTTCAGTTCCTTCCGTCTTTCGTTTGTGAACCGCACATAGGCTTTCAATCGTGGTTTGGGGGCTCCTGGGGCAAAGATGCGGCGTTTGAGTTTCTTTATTTTTTGATCTAAAAATAAAATGAAAAATAAAATATTGTTCTAATAATGTTCGGTTCGTACTTACTTAGAACTTCGTCGTCGCTGTCGGAGCTTGGGCTCAATTCCGATTCGGATGATTCAATTCGCTCAGGCGAGTCGTGAACGTCATGGACTCTCTGAAGATGCTTTTCCAGATTCGATTTATTAGCGCTCTTAAATGGACAGAGCGGGCACTCGAAATTTGTTGCCTTTGGTCCAAATGCACAGCTATAGTGTTTATGTTTTAGTAAGGATCGTTTCATCATTTTTTTCTTGCATTGTTCGCATCTTGCGAATCCTAATTCTAGTTCGCTCTAGAAAATATAAATAAGTGAAAATATAAAATATACTTACATATACTTTAATTTACTTACATCGCTGGAAGAACTGCAACTTGAAAAACTGGACGCATGACCATGCACTTCAACCCATCTTTCGAATGTTACGGGCAAGTCTTTGTTCCATGGCCTTTCGTCCCATGGAGGTAAGGTGGAGGTTGTTGGATGGTCTTCATCGCTTGAAGAAGATGAATTCATGTTGTTTAGTTTGGTTTGTTTGTTTGTTTGGTTGTTAACTCTAAACGAAAACCGGCGCCGGCTTGCAGAAAAATGAGTGTGACCAGATAGGCCGATGAGATGATGCCAACTCGGTGGAAAAAGGATGGACGCAAAGTGCTCAAAATGAGCCATTTATAAATGGCTGACTTTGCGGGTAATTTTAAATTTACCTTAAAGTTTGTTCGCTCTAGAAGATATAAACAAATGAAAATAAAATGATATGATATATGATATGTAGCTTGGCAGGTCAATTTAAAAATAAAAAATATATATTTATTTTGTGCTCAATAATTGAGCCGCGCCGCTCATTTAGCTCAACTGAACGGCGTTGACGGCGGCCGGCGTCTTCTAGATTTTTCGGCGGCTGATCGCATTTTTTGAGCGGAGCCCATTTTGAAAGCACGTGTCAGAAGTCAAACAACAAACAACGTAAGTATTTACATATATTATTATATATTTATATATTATATATATATATATATTATATATATACGTATAATATATCCTTTTTAATTTAATTTCCTTTCCAGATGTCCCTTCACCAACATTTCCATTTTGGCGGCCCTGGTGGCCGTGGCGGTGGCCGTGGCGGTGGCCGTGGCGGTGGCCGTGGCGGTACATATGGCCGCACAAACACGTTGAAAGAAAGGAAAGAACGTAGGCAAGCCATATGCGACCGTGCCTTTATGATGATTATGGCCGCCCACCGTGGCGAAAGAGACGGCATGGCAGTGGAAGGGCGCGCCTTGTTGGAGCGCTTGAGGCAGCATAATGTGCTGCCTCAGGTTTCGGTGGCCCCCCAGCGCGTAAGTATAACCATATATATATTATATATAATTATTATATTTAATATTTTCGCAGGAGGCCCCGGCCCAGGAATACGCGTATGTGCCGGCCCCGGCCCCGGAATACGCGCAATATATGCAACAAGCTCATTATGTGCCGCAGGTGCAACAGGTCCCAATGGACAATAATCAAATGGAGCAATAATAATACTTTATTATAATAAATAATACATAAATAAAAATAAATACATTGTAAAAATATTTTTGTGTTTTGTTATTCGCTTCTCCCCTCAGCTCCATATACTCCTCGCGGCAGGTGCTGCTCGTCTCGGAGATCGAGATACGCGACCGCCTGCGCTCCGAGCGACCAGCATAGCCAGGATTCATTGTGATGAAGACCGCGCAAGTGGGGTCCAGGGTGAGGGTGGTGCCCTCAAACACCAAGGTGGGACTGCCAGAGTTGATGCCCCGCTGGATGGTCATAATCTGCTGGGCCACCACCGACAAGACCTCGAGATCGATGCGATTGAATTCGTCGAAGCAGGACCAGGCGCCGCAAGAGGCCAGACCAGACCCTTGAAGAACTTGCCCAGAGCCAGATAATCCAGGCCGTCCGAGCAGTTGAAGACCACACACTGCTTGGCCACGGCCTTGGCCAGATCCTTGGTGGTCTCCGTTTTGTCGGTGCCCGCCGGACCTTCGGGCGCACCGCCCAAATGCAGATTCAACGCAGCAAACAAAGTGCGATAGCAACGATCCGTCAGTGGGGTGACGACCAGTCGCGTGGTGTTGCCCAAATACTCATAGCCGTAGGGCAGCGAGCAGTTTATCATGCGCGTGTCCAGGTTATTCTCCTCCTAGTAGTATCGCAGCTGGCACAGCCACTGGAAGTCCTGCAGATCCTCCACCTCCTTGCCAGCACATCGCGAGCGTGCACATCCAACACCACCAGGGCGCCCAGTGTGATGCGGTTCTGTGTGTTCAGATCGCCGCGCACCAGATCGACGATCTTGTTGATTTGCTGTATGCATTTTTGCAGATATTTGGCCAGATTCCCCTTGGGGTCGTCACTCTCGAAGCACTCGGTAATCTCCAGCGTCCAGTAGGTCAGCGATATGGACTGCACACACTGACCCGGCCACGTGAGCACCCACACATTGCGCACAATCTTCAGATAGCTGTAGAAGGCCTCCTCCTTCTTCATGTCGATCTCCAGCTCCAGCAGCCACTTCTCGACTTGACCGCGCGCCTTGGACGTTGAGATGACATCCACCAGGACCACCTCCTCACGCTCCGAGGAGCGCATGTCCGTCACATCCAATTCCTCGGTGAAGTTCAGCGTGGCAATGCCCTCGAATCACTTCTTCAGATGCGGCTGGACGCGCGTCGGGTCCTTCGTCTACGAGAGTATTTCCAGCAGCTCGTCGTTGGACAGGAAGAAGAAACGCGGGAAACGCATGAGGATCAGTGGCGTAGCTACGTACGTGCAAGACGGTGCGGCGCACCGAGGCCAACAAGCTCAGGGGTCCAGACTCTGACCGGAAAATCACCAAAAAATCTCTCACTCCATTGAATTTTATGAACAATAATTTTAACGAGGCCCAATTAATGCACCTATACACAAAAATAATAAAAAAAAAAACATAAATAAAACGAGAAGTAACGTGTGAGTCGCTTCTGGGGACGCGACTCTACTTATACCCGTACTCAGTCAGTATATACATTTTTGATCTTATGATTTTTTAGAATTTTAAAATTTAAAAAAAAATTGTACACCTTACATTTTTTTACTACATCTGTTATCTACATCTACAGTGTATATTTTACATCTAAAATGTAGATTATAGATGTACCATCCATATTCTACATCTCCTCCGCTAGGGGTTGTTCGCGCACTGAACGCGCCAGAGTGGGCGAGAGAGAAACAGAATGAGTAGCGTGTCTCTGGCAGGGGGAGGCAGAGGAAGAAACAGAAAATTAATTTCTTCATTTTGGCTATAATTTTGATCCGATCTGATTCAGATTCGGCAGTCTGGTAGATATGGGTATTCTCTACGATACTGCGTATCGTATCTTTAAAATTGTGCCTGCCACAGATTTTCGTCCTTTGTGGGGGCGGGGCGAAATTTTGAAATACACTTTTAACAGTGTGATATTACATGAGTCTGGAAACAAAATTTGGCTGCTCTAGCTCTTATAGTCTCTGAGATCTAGGTGCTCATCAAGACGGACGGACGGACAGACGGACATGGCTATATCGACTCGGCTATTGATGCTGATCAAGAATATATATACTTTATGGGGTCGGAAACGTTTCCTTTTCTGCGTTGCACACATCCAAAAATACAATATACCCCTTAACTCTTTTTTGAGTACGGGTATACAAAAATAATCTCAGAAAAAGTCGGTTTTATTCGAAGTGTAAATAAAAAGTTTAATTTTGGTGAGTATTGTAATTTTGCGAAGTGTAAGGCAAGAAGCTTGTAATTTTGTTAAATGTATAATAAAGATTTTTGAACACATACATTTTTAAATAAAGAATTCGATTTACCTCATGACCTAATAGCAATATTATTAATCCATAAAGCGCACACAAAACCCTCGGTTTGAAATTTAAGAAAATGTCTGACATGGCTTATACCAGATGGTTTGTGCGTTCTGAACGAAGCAATGAAATTGTATTCCCTCTTTTCGGGTCTTATTCTTACTCACACATATGTAATCACAGCGAACCCTGCAGTACCAGAAGTGAGCGATGACAAATGTCAACTACGCGTCATTCAGGATTTTGTCTCTGCCGCTGCAACAGAGGAGTAGAATATGACGTCGACGTCGCGATCGACGCGTCGGTCAGACCAAACTCTTTTTTTTTCTTTGTTTCTTTCTTTTACGACGCGTGCCGTAACAGAATTCGGTTTTGCCGTCGGCGTCGACAACGTTGTTAGAATTGTGCGGTGAAAAGTGAGACGCAGGTTTTGTTTATTTTGGGAAAATTATTATCAGGTAAGTGCAGTGTTTCATTTAATTAAAAATAGTCTATTGTGCGTTGTAAAAAATGAAGAAAATGTGATATTGCGAAATTAAATGCGTTTTGGACGAAATTTTTCATTTCCAACAACGAAAACAGAAAAAAAACGAGTCTTGAGTCGAACAGGTACATATCTAAGCGGGTGTTTTGTTTTTTGCGCAAATGCACTGCTGATCTACTGAGAGCATTGTTAACATATTGAAATATATTTTAATTAACCCATCTTATTTTAAAGGCGATTCAGTTGAAGTGCCCGGAATGACCACGACGGCCTTACGAACATGAGCAAATCAAAAAAACTAAAAAGGTTCTGTGGAAAAAAGAACACACAGCACAAAAATGTGAATATGCATACAATTTTATAAGAAAGCAATAAATAAAAGAAATTTAATATTTTAAAACAGAATTTACCCATGCCTTTTTCATCAAAATATCAAAATTTTTTACTTAAATACATCACTTATTAGGGCCTTACTTTTTAAGGGAAATTCATCGCTTATTAAGGCCTTACTTTTCAAGGGAAATTCATCACTTATTAAGGCCTTACTTTTTAAAGGAAATTCATCGCTTATTAAGGCCTGACTTTCGGCTAATTCTCGCTTACTATGTCATCGATTATGCTCCTAGGACATCCCTGTGTTAAAGTAAACAGCCCATCGTATGGCAGGTCATCGCTTATGTCATCGAGCTGCATGACGTTGCCATCGATGTGTGGTTGCTTACACATCGCTTACCCGTACTGCAGGGAAGTTTGTTGTTGTATATATGTATGTATGGGACCGAGAGGTCCCGGGATCGTCGTGAATAGTGGCCGCAAATTATTTGCGATTCCATATTTCTTATGCACGTCGATCGCATCGCTTACGGAGAAATCCCCAAGAGGATGGAGGATAATAATAAAAAAAAAGGTTTCAATATAACGTATATTCAACTCCATCAACGCCTTAATTGCTTCCTATTTCTCTGCCAACTTCGAGCCTGGAACTGGAATAACCAGGAAGTTTTAGATAAAATTCCTGAAATTCGTAATGTTGAGTCCTTTGATATAACTGTTGAGGACATTTTGACAGACAAAATCAGACAAAATCTCCTAATCTAAAAATCTAAAAAATAAAGCTCTGAGAATTTTTTATTACATGTGTTCATTTATATTATTCAAATCGTTCATAAAATATTTTTTACATTTGCCAACTGTTTTCGCCACTGTTAATACACACAATCACTAACCATACAACATATAGATGTGCCAGTTCATACATGTGTCATATGGTTAGTGACACAATATAAACAAATAACAACTTTAAAACCAAACTCGACCTATTCTGGGCCGGATCAACCATCAACCGGGCCCTGGGAAACCATCAATCTGGGGTCCCTTCTTTTTTCATTCGAAACTTATAAATTTCATGTTTGATTATTTATTATGTTTCTCAGTGGATATTATTTTTTCATTATTATATTCATTATTTGGAGTTTTGTTTTGAAAAAAAATTGTTTCTGTTAGCCCTCGGCACAGTATACATATATTTTGGAGTGTACACGTACACAACACATGCATGCTTGCTGCCAGTCGGCTCGTGTGACGTGAATAGGTCCAGGGCCGGATTAGCAGTTGCCTGGAAATAACAGAAAAATGTTGTTGAAAAAACAAAACTCCAAATAATGAATAAAATATATAATAGCCACTGAGAAAAATACAAAATAAAGGAGGGCCCCAGATTGATGGTTGCCCAGGGCCCGGTTGAGGGTTGATCCGGCCCTGAATAGGTCGCTACATCACATCAGCCCTCAAAACAAAACGAATTCAAGCGGCCAACAATTGTAGAGCCCACACACAAGCACAGTATGTGTGAATACATGGCACACACACATTTACGTAACCTGGAAACGAAACTCAAAACAAACTCAAAACTGTTTTGGAAAATAAGAATTGATACAAAATTTTGTCGTGTCTGTTTACACACATACATTTGCAATTCTCAGCTTGCTTTCGCATCTCGTCATGAATCGAACATGTCGAAAAAATGCCGAACGTCTCAGGCCCACGACCCGAACGTCTCAGCACCACAGCCGAATGGTCCGAATGGTATTCGTTAATCTTTGCATTATTAAATATTTGGGTCCGAAAGAGAAATCCATTGTAGTTGAGATGTTTTTAAATTTATAAATGTCTGGTG